CCACACAAGCAAGTGATTGGTAGAAACCCCATACCAGGCCAGAGAAATCAGTGTTTCTCAAACTATCTGAAGGGAGGGATCATTTTTCCCTCCACCTGTTCCAGGTTAATACTTTTTAAAATACAGTAATAAAAAAATACAGTGAAGATGACATATTGCTGCAAAGTTTCTAAATGCTCACTATCAATTTTATCTGGTTACAGACTAGTAACAACTTACAAGCCAGCACCAATTTGTGAACCACACTTTTAGCACAGATACAAAGCAGGATAAAGATGACTAAAAACAAATATTATCCAGTCTTCCAATTCATCCATTCATTTAACAGATACTTATTAGTCACCCGTGTGCTAGATAAATACCTCAGGACTACTCTGTGCAATGTCTAATTAGGAGTAGCCACTTCTGTCCTACAGTTCCGTAACTTAGTGGTCATATATCCCCAGGTAGCTGGAAGAGGTGACTTGCTAAATGGAGAGCCTTTAATTGACCATGTATAATTCTGCGTAACAATTTTGACATAATTTGCTTCAGTCTTCCATTAGTATTTTGACACTAACTCCTTAATGATCCCACAGCAAACCTGAGAAGACATTCATTCAACAGGATAAACATATAACACATACACAGTTACGTACTGACAGACAGTCCAGTACTACTCTGGATGCTACGTTTACAGTATACGTTTTTAGAGAACAAAACACACACCCCATCCATACCCTGCCCTCAAAAAGCAACACCCAAGTACTCTACAACCTTCTGGTAGACTCTTGGGCACGACTCCATGGTATCTTCAGCCTCCCTAGTTGAGTGATGAGATTAAGCTACAGTGTGCTTACATGATGATAGTACAGTTACTAACTCTCCTTCAAAACGCTTCTCCCAATAAACCAGCTCCTGTATGTTGTGGGACTATAAAGCCACTGCTGCCTATCCAATTAGAAATCAGTAATCTCAGGCTGTCAGTGACTCAGTCCTATCAACTCTTGTTTCTCTCTCTACAGAGGCTCCCAACTACAGCCTTTCCTCCCAAACAGCTACTTCAAATGCAAAAGACCATTTGCCACCATTTCTAAATATAAGAAAAAAACTTAAACCCTTGGCTTCATTTTATGTATATAACTTTTTTTTTTTTTTTTTTTTTTGACAGGCAGAGTGGACAGTGACAGAGAGAGACAGAGAGAGAAAGGTCTTCCTTTGCCGTTGGTTCACCCTCCAATGGCCGCCGCTGCAGCCGGCGCACCGCGCTGATCCGATGGCAGGAGCCAGGATCCAGGTGCTTTTCCTGGTCTCCCATGGGGTGCAGGGCCCAAGCACCTGGGCCATCCTCCACTGCACTCCCTGGCCATAGCAGAGAGCTGGCCTGGAAGAGGGGCAACCGGGACTAGAACCCGGTGTGCCGGCGCTGCAAGGTGGAGGATTAGCCTATTGAGCCACGGCGCCGGCTTATGTATATAACTTCTAACTTTACAAAATGTAAGCCAATCACAATGGCGGGTACTTTCAAAAAGTTCATGGAAAATGGAACCAAAAGATAAGTTTATTTTGGTGTCCCAAAGTTTCGAAATCCAAGCATATTAGGGGTAGTCTTTTAAAAGTTCATGGATGGTGCCCAGTGCTGTGGCATAGCAGATAACGCTGCCACCTGCAGTGCCGGCATCCCAAATGGGTGACAGTTCTAGTCCCCACTGCTCTACTTCCCATCCAGCTCTCTGCTATGGCCTGAGTCCTTGGGCCCCTACACCCACATGGGAGACTCAGAAGAAGCTCCTGGCAGCTCCGGCCATTGTGGCCATCTGAAGAGTGAACCAGCAGATGGAGGATTTCTGCCTCTGCCTCTCTGTAACTCTGCCTTTCAAAAAAAAAAGTTCATGATGGGGTCAGTGCTGTGGTATAATGGGTAAAAACTGCTGCCTGCTGTACCACGGCATCCCATTTGGGTGCCGGTTCGAGTCCACTTCCTGATCCAGCTCCCTTCTATGGCCTGGGAAGGCGGTGGAAGATGGCCCAAATCCTTGGGCCCCTGCACCCGCGTGGGAAACTCGGAAGCTCCTGACTCCTGGCTTCGGATGGGCCCAGCTCTGGCCGTTGCAGCCATTTGGGGAGTGAACCAGTAGACTGAAGACCTTTGTCTCTTTGCCTCTGCCTCTCTGAAACTCTTTCAAATAAATAAACCTTAAAAAAAAAAAAGTGCATGAATAATGCATCTTATGGGGGCAAGTGTCTGGCCTAGCAGTTATGACACCCACATCCCATATTAGAGTACCTGGGTTCAAGTCCTGCTTCCACTCCCAATTCCAGCTTCCTGCTAATGCAGACCCTGGGAGTAAGCAGGTGGTGGTGGTTCAAGTAGTTAGGTCCTTGCTGGCTTCAACCTGGAACAAAATCAGCTGTTGCCAGCATTTAGGAAATGAACCAGTGGATGGAAGATCTCTGTTGGTCTCTACCTTTCAAATAAATTTTTAAAAAGAAACAATGGGGTTGCTGTTGTGGTATAGTGGGTTAAGCTGCCATCTGCAACACCAACACCCCATAGGGTCGACGATTCATGCATGTCCTGGCTCCTCCACTTCACCTGAGAAAGTATGGCCAAGTACTTGGGCCCGTGCTACCCACATAGGAGACCAACTCATGGAGCTAGAAGATCTCTTTCTTAGTAACCCTTTCAAATAAAAATAAATAAATCTTTACAAAAAGGACAATGTGTATAATGAAAAAACTACATGAATTTCAATTTTTTGCACTAAAATAATCTTATTTCTGTGAACTTTTTGAAGCACCCTCATATTTGTATTTAAATTTAAAAATGGATTTTTTTAATTTGAAAACTGAATCGTGAAGTTCAGTGTTTAGAATTGAGATCCAACAGATTTGTCTCTATTATTCTAATTCAGATGTTCCCAGAAATTCCAACTAATCAGTCTACATATTTAATTTTCCTTTGTAATTTCAATTGGACATGTATTCTTCACTTCTCACTGAGGCCTGCTGCCCACTGCTGACAGCTGCCGGTCCCACCACCTCACAAGTGAGGCAGCTTTTGCAATTTTAATCAACACTTAGGAGCACACAGGAGCTCACCAACTGACTACACTATGGAAGTTGTCAGTATTGAAGGAAATCTCATCTGAACAACTTAGTTACAGAATTTTTCCATCAATGCACCTTCTAAAGAGCATCTTAAGGACTACGCATTAGAGCAAACAGGGTTTAGAATTAAAAAAATAAAAATCTCAGATTGCATTGGTGTTGTGACCCTGAGTAATCTGTTTAACCTGAGCTTCAGTTTCCTCATTCTATAAAAGGAAGGTAATGATATACTTTTTGGATAGGTGCAAGAGCAACTGAAATCATCTGAAAGTACAAAACCGTGGTACTGTTACACATGGCAAAAAGGCCCAAAGCGTGGTTGTATTCCCGCTTTTTGAAACTCGCCATTAGTCAGTAGTATGGAAGTAAAGAACACCTTACACATCTCGGATTCACAACTACTGGGAAAGGACAGACGTTTAGATTTTGTAATCCATCCAGAAGACACTGGGGGCGAGGAGCAAAAAGATCTTACTCACTCTTGGTTTCTTAGTCAGTGAACCTCAAACAATAACTTGCTCTAAACCAAGTAATTAACGGCAACAGTTTGCAAACAATAACATTTTTGTAGGCAATTCTCATGCGCAGTAAAACGTGCAAGAAAAGCAACAAGACTTTATATAATCAGATACCCTGTCTTTTAATTTTAAAAAACAACCATTAAGTTTTAAGGAGAAACCAGACAAGGGGAAGAAGTCGGACGGGGGCTGCTCCGGGGGACTGGCGCTCACGTGTACCCAGCGGCGGCTATACATTATACACAGGAAGAGGAGGAGGGACCCGGGGAGGGAGCGGTTGCTCCCGTGCGCGGTCTATTAATTCACATTTTGCTCTCTTCTGTTCACATCCTGCGCGGACTCCACCCAAAGCAACCGAGCGACTCACAGCCTAGCAAATAACAGTCCCAGAAACCGAAACGAAATCGAGGTGGAATTGTGAAAACACGGCTCGCCAGAGAGGGTGGAGAAGGAGCGCAAGAAGGGGACCCTTGTGGTGGCTGGAAAGACATCCCTGGCCCTCGTCGCTTCCCGGGGACATCCCCCACCCCTCAATCGCCACCAGCTCCCTCCTCTCCCGCACACGGGAGGAGGAAAGACGCACACCCGGCAAGGCCACCCATCCCCAGAACGTGGGCGGAGAGCACGCCAGTACTCCTCGGAGATTTCAGAAGAAATAGGGGTGGCAACCCGGGAGAGGCGGAGGCTAGGCGGAATGGAAACTGACTGCGAGTGGGGCACCCGTGAGACGGCGCGAAGGGACTAAGGAGGGAGCCTGCTGGGGCCGCTGCCCCGGCCAAGAAGGCTACCTGTTGAATGGAACCCGCCCTGTGGATGCAGAGGAAGCGAGAAGGGCGAGACGCCCGGGACGGCGGAGCCGCTGCGGCCAGAACAGCGTGGCGGGGCCGGTGGGATCCCGGCCCCAGTGCCTGCGGGGCCCCACCCTGAGAAGCCTTGGCTGCAGCCACAGGGATGAGAGACACCGACAGAAACGAGGGAGAAGTGGCCGACGGCAGCCGGTCTGGCCCGCTCCCGCCGTTAGTCACTCACATCTGATACTCGTCTATCGCCTCCACCAGCTGGCCCCAAGAGTCGAAGTCGGCGCCTCTCCTAAAACTGGCGCCCCAGCGCTGCAGCAGACTCCGGGTCACCTCCGACATGGCCGGGCCCCACCCCGTCCCCTCCCGCCCCTGCCCCAGCAAGGCCGGGCTCTAGGGCGCCATCCTCCCCGGGCCTGGCCCCGACATTAACAGGGCCAGGAGGAACCGCTACCGCCACCACCGCCACCCGCCGAGGAGCCGCCCAAGCCCATTTGCCGCCACAGCCAAACTTTGCGGCTCCGAAGCGGCCGCCCCGCCGAGGCCCCGCCCCCGAGGCCCCGCCCCGCGTTAGGTTGAGGCCGCCCCATTTCCACCGCGGGCCGCCATCGCTATTGCGGGGTCCTGTGTCGGCTGCGGCTGCGTGGCCGACTGTGCCCTTCCTCTGTGAGCTAGGGCTCGCAGCCCACGAGGGAAGACCGGGGAGGAGAAGTTAGGAGGGGCTGATGGGCCGAGCGTTCTGAGGAGGGCGGCAGCTCCCGCCCCCGAGTGGCGCGCCTGGCCGCCTCGGTTGCTGTCATGGCCGCCGGGCCACGTGACTCTGGCCGGGCGCCGGCCTGTCTTCCTGTCTAGTTCAGTAGTCTCGGTTCACCGACTCCCTCCTTTTCTCGCTTGCGGACCACGATACTGCTTTTCTTTCCTCAGAAGCACTGCTGACAGACTCTGAAAAATCCAGTAAGTATGTCCGAAGAAGGGTGTTTGCCTGTCCCTGTTTCCCCAGAGCCCCAGGCTGAGGGTCACCCCCTTTGACACCTATCTCCATAGATCTCTGGATGGTGGTCTTTATAAGTCTAACGCCTTGTAACAAACGAAAGAAAATAAGGTTGACCCCGTGGTCAGTGGTATTAACAGCTAGATTCGCCGAACCTCCCTGCCCAAACCTCCAGTGGCAGCTGGAGATCTTATACGGTAGTCTAACTAGGAGTTAGAGCCCTCGTCTGTCCGCCTGTCCCGGGTCGATAGTATCGGCTTTCCACAGAAATGCCTAGTCGCAAAGAGGGGCGCGCGGGGTGTTGGCGCATGCGCATGTCGCCGCCCGGCCTCTTGTTGGGGACGGGCTGCGGAGGAAGAGACTGGTAAACAGGAAGTGGACCTAGAGAGCCCGGGAGCTACCCCAGGTATGTTCCTGCAGGACCGGGAGCCTCGGGAGTGGGGGTCGCTGTTGGAAATTTGAGTCGTCTTGGTGTAGGCGGGTTAGTGGTTGCTCTGAAGGCACCCAGGCGCCTGCCGGGGGCAGGAGGCGTCGTTCCGCGCCAGGGTCGGAATTCCCGAGAAGCTAGGGGTGCGGCCGGAGAAAGAGGGCACCTGCAGCGGGGGCCGGGAGTACTGGCCTTAGCCCCTTCCTTCCTGAAGTGTGGATGCGCAGACCTGGAAGTGGAAGGCCCCCTGAAAGGAGTATTTGTAGAAAATTTGACAGCATTAAGCGCAGCGTGTGCCAGTGTCTCTGGAGCTCGGTTGAAGTGCGTGTGGATGCCTTAGTTGGGCTTTGTATGGAAGGTGTTGGGTGATGTGTTCTAAAGGACTCGCTAAGCGTTTTAAGTCGCAAATGCACCTGCTCGAGTTTTTTTTGAGTTCTGTCCGTTAAATATCTGGTCTTCGCACAAACCGGTTGTCATTAATTAGTACATATAAGGGAGCTGCTGCACGCAGTTATTTAACACTCTGTAGTACAAGTATTTTTCTAATGAGAAAAACCTGTTGACAGCCCTGTGTAAGCCCTTCAAATTACCCCGTTGTGTCCCATCGTCATCTATAGGACATCTATAAAGACTTGAGCAATAAATATACCACTTCTGGTAACTTTGAAGTGAATGAAAACTCGGCGCCTAATGGGTTAAGTGAGCCTTACCAGAATTTCTCTCTATTATTTCCTGGAATCTAGTTGCCATATTTGAGTCTTTGGCTGGACTTTCCTGTATTGTCTGCACTGCCTATCCAAGGGTGTTTTTTGGCAAGAGACATACAGTACTTTGGTTGTTGTTTTTTTTTTAAGAATCTAAAAAGTGTGGTACTTATTTTTAAGTTGTCATTTCACTAAAGTAGTTTTTCAAATTTTTTGTTTTTATGATAGAAGCGTGTAGTGTTGTTTATTATAGAAATACTGATTATTAGCTGTCTTGTGGAAAATACTGTTATTGTGGGACACACATGATAACCAATCCATTGGCACCAGCCAATGTGGGAAATACAGTCAACTTAAAACCTTTTTATTTCAAGTAGCTTCAGTACTGTAGATGAGAGTCACCATTTGAACCTGTTTTGGAAATTACATTCGTCTGGTCCTGTGTACTCCACTCGAAGCTGTTCGACCATCTAGTACTTGGCTATTAAAAAGTGTAATCTGGGGACCTGCTACATCAGCTTTTCAGGCCCTGCTTTAGACTGTTGAATTACAACCTGCATTTAACAAGCCTCTGCCCAGTGATTTTTATCAACGTTAAAGTTTAAACTTTACTAGTCTAGAATATACTTTTACTTGCATATTTGTTTTTTATTTTTAATAGAAATTGTACTATTTATGGGCACCATTTGCTATTTCAATACATGTATGCATTATGTAGCATCCAAATCAGGATAAACATACCTATTTACCCAAACATTTACCTATTTTTAATAATGAAAACATTCAAATTCTTTCTTCTAGCTTTTTTTTTTAGAGAAGTACACAGTACATTATTATTATCTGTAGTTACCCCACTGTGCGATAGAACACCAGAACTTCTTACTCCTAGGTAACTAATACTGTTGTTTATTTAACATTGACGTTACTATAGGTGGAATTCTAAAGGCTATATATATATTTTTTTTTTTTGACAGGCAGAGTGGACAGTGAGAGAGAGAGACAGAGAGAGAAAGGTCTTCCTTTGCCGTTGGTTCACCCTCCAATGGCCGCCGCTGCAGCCGGCGCACCGCGCTGATCCGATGGCAGGAGCCAGGATCCAGGTGCTTTTCCTGGTCTCCCATGGGGTGCAGGACCCAAGCACCTGGGCCATCCTCCACTGCACTCCCTGGCCATAGCAGAGAGCTGGCCTGGAAGAGGAGCAACCGGGACAGAATCCGGCGCCCCAACCGGGACTAGAACCCGGTGTGCCGGCGCCGAAGGGGCTATATTTTTTATTTTTTAAGAATTTTTTTTAACTTTTATTTAGCAAATATAAATTTCCAAAGTACAACTTATGGATTACAGTGGCTTGCTATATTTTTTATAGACCTGATCTAAACATAGATTTCCATAGATATACAATTAATTACAACACAAGATTGTTTATCATCACAAGATTGACTTGTGATGATAAAGTTACATATGTGATGATTTAGTTACATATGGGTGTAATGCTTTGTATACGAGATATATGTATTCTGTAGTAAAATTTTGTTTGTTGTATACCATTTGCATTGTTCAATATTTTATCTTTAATTTACATATTTTTTTTGTTTGTAGAAGATATCTGGAGAAAATGACACATTGGTTTCATAGGAACCCATTAAAAGCCACTGCTCCTGTCTCTTTTAACTACTATGGTGTAATCACTGGCCCTCCTGCTTCAAAAATTTGCAAGTAAGTTTCAGTCAATCTCAGCCAGTATTGATTGTACCACATCTGGATACAAGGTACTTTATAGGTTCTCTGAGCTATCCAAAAGTGTGTAACGTTCTCCCTAACCTTAGACTCCTTATAATTTAAATGTTAGAAAAAGTGGAGTCATGGGTTACTGAACCTTTGGTAATCATCTAGGCCAAGATCGTCAATTTTAGATGAGCAGACAAGTCCCAGAGAGGCTAAAGCAATCATAATAAAAGAGTTAAGCTGTCTATTATGAGTAAATGCTATGGACTCCAGAAAGTAATATATGGACATTGTAAATTGACCATACAGTAAATTCATTGAGATCAGAGTGGAAGAGATCCCTGTAAGTTAGGATAAACTTCAAAGTTTTCATACTGGATATCGGACTTGAGCCAGTACTTAAATAAATTAAATGGCTTAGGTCCCATATGGTTTGGCAAACTACATCCCACAGATCTAACCTACTGTTGTTTTTTGTTTTATTTGAAAGGCAGAGGCACAGAGACAGAGATCTCCCATCCACAGGTTCACTGCACAAACGCCTGCAACAGCCAGGGCTGGGCCAGGCTGAAGCCAGGATTTAGAAACTCACTCTGGGTCTGCCTTGTTGGTGGCAGGATCCCAACTACTGGAGCTATCACTTGCTGCTTCCTACTGTGCACATTAGCAGGAAGTTGGAATCAGAAGCAGAGCTGGGACTTGAACCCAGACACTCCAGTATGGGATGCTGACATGACAAAGAACACCAAATGCCCACCCCCACTACTTGTTTTATAAATGAGATTTTATTGGAACACAGGCAGTCCCATGTTTATTTACATATGGCTGCTTATGGTTACTTTACAATGGCAGAGTTGAGTAGTCCACAAAGCCTAAAATATTTACTGTCCTGCCGTTTATAGATATAGATGGTAAGAGGGGAAAGAAGAAAATCATTTTTATTAGGAAAATCTTTTGTTCTGAGGATAGTGAATAGGGCAGTTTGCCTGGAACAAAAGATGAAAGAGCTATTTCAAAGGAGGAATCAACTGACCTTACCAACAGATTTGCTCCAGGATATTGGAAAGGATTTGGTATATGTGTATAGAAAATATTCGGACATTGGTGGTAGCAGTACAGGAAAGTCAGGAGAGTTGCTGCTTTTGTGGGAAGAAGTGGCTAAAGCAAAAGATAAGAAATTTGGTTTATTGTTCTAGACCACTGGTGAGCAAACTTTTTTCCAAAGGGCAAAATAGTAAATATTTGTAAACTTTGTGGGCTGCATACATCACTTGATAATCTTTGTTCATCCTTACAAATTTTTTTTTTAAGATTTGTTTGTTTGAGAGGCAGAGAGAGAGGTGTCTTCCATCCGCTGGTTCACTCCCCAGATGGCTACAATGACTAGAGCTGCACTGATCCGAAGCCAGGAGCCAGGCGAGGGTGCAGGGGCCCAAGGACTTGGGCCATCTTCCACTGCTTTTCCAGGCCATGGCAGAGAGCTGTATCGGAAGTAGAGCAGCCGGAACCGGAATTTGAACTGGTGCCCATATAGGATGCGGGCACTGAAGGTGGCAGCTTTACCCACTACACCACAACGCCGGCCCCTCTTACACCTCTTTAAAAGGTGTGAAACCCATTCTCAGTGTAGGCTCCCAGACATTGGTCCCAGCTTAGCTGTTTTATCCGTAGTAACAGGCAGGTTCCTTAACTTCTTTGGACTTGATTTGTAATCTGTAAAGTGAACAACTTAAATTAGGCATTTCCAAGCTGTGTTTTTTGCAAATGCTATAATTTTAAGATGGATACAAGTTTATACAAATTGGATGGTAAGGTTATAGCCAAGCACCTATATTTAAGTAACTAGGAAACTTGAGTCTAGAGGATTCAAATTTCTTCCTGTTCCCTGTCAAGGGAATCACCCCTTGACAACCCTTAGATAAATACCTCAAGCAGTGACAGATTGATTGGTAGCCTGTCCTATTTTCAGTCAGTTTTGTGCAAATGTTGATATTTACTTTCTTGGAATAAGCCTCCTTGGAAGTTAGTAGCAGGGGCCGGTGCCGTGGTGTAGTGGGTGGAGCTGCCACCTGTGGTGCCGGTGTCCCATGTGGGTGCCAATTTGGGTCCCGGCTGTTCCACTTCCTATCCAGCTCTCTGCTGTGGCCTGGGAAAGCAGTGGAGGATGGCCCTTGGGCCCCTGCACCCGTGTGGGGCACCCAGAGGGGGCTCCTGGCTCCTGGCTTCGGATTGGTGCAGCTCCGCTGTTGCGGCCTATTGGGGAGTGGACCGGCGGATGGAGGACCTCTCTCTCTCTCTCTCTGCCTCTCCTCTCTCTCTGTAACTCTTTTGGGTAAGATAGATAAATCTTTAAAAAAATAAATTAGTAGCAGTGAATAGACTATATGTAGACCATTCAAGGTTAAGTGTCTGTTCTCTTCTAAATGTTGCTGCTATACTACAGCGCTTCTAAATCTCCAAATATTTAAAAGCTAATAGAGTTATGCATCACTTAATGACAAAGATATATTCAAATAAATTTGACATTGGGAGATTTGATCATTGTGCAAACATCATAGAATGTATTTAGACAAATAATATAGCTTTTTTTTTTTTAATTAATTTACTTGAAAAGTGACTGAGCTTTTACCTGCTGGTTTACTCACTAAATGCTGGTAACAACCAGCCTACTCCCCAAATGCTGGTAATAGCTGGGGCTGGGCCAGGCCAAACCCCATCCGGGTCTGCCACATGGATGGCAGGGACCTAAGTACTTGAGTCATCTTCTGCTGCTTTCCCAGGCATGACAGCAGGGAGCTGGTTGGAAGTGGAGCAGCCAGAACTCGAATTGGTGCTCTGATATGGGATGCTAGCATTGCAGGCAGCTTAACCTGCTGTGCCATAATACCCACCACAACAGTATAGCCCTCTGTACACTGTTATATATTCACAGTCTTCTGGGACCACCATCATAGTATGTGGTCTGTCATTGATTGAAACATTGAGTATCTGCCTTAACCTACCCCCCTCCTAAATTCTGAGAATATAGTCGCTACTCTATGCTTATCATTTACATTCAGTATTTCTTGGTCACATTCACCCATTTCAGGTGTCTTCCATCTCTGACCATTTAGTGTGCTCTCTGGACCCCTCACTAAGCTCATTGCCTTCTGGATTGAATATGGAGCTTGTTAGACCTGGTGTAGACCTAGGAATCTTGTAGCTTAAATTATGCCAGTAGATCTCAAAAATGTGCAGAAAGACTGAACATGTTTAGAGGTGAGAATAAGAAAGGGATGTAGGAAAAATATAGAAGAAACTGTTAGAGGTAACAGGAGCACTTGGAAAATTTAGTGTTAGTAGATTCCAGGGAGAAAAGGATTTCAAGAAGGAAAAAGTAGATCCACAGTGTTGATTGCTACAGAGGAGTAAAGGTGAATAGAGACTAGGAAGCAGTTTTTAAAAATTGACCCGGGCCAGTGCTGTGGTGTAGTAGGTTAAGCCTTCACCTGAGGCATGGGCATCCTATATTAGTGTGGGTTCGGGTCCCTGCTGCTCCACTTTCAATCCAGCTCTCTACTAAGGTTCCTGGGAAAGCAGTGGAAGGTGGCCCAAATGCTTGGCCCCCTGCACTCACGTGGGAGACCAGGAAGAAGCTCCTGCTTCCTGCCTTCAGATCAGCTGAGCTCAGGCCGTTGCGGCCATTTGGCAAGTGAACCAGTGGATAGAAGACTTCTTTCTCTAACTCTCCCACTGTCTGTAACTCTGCCTGTGAAATAAATAAATCTTAAAAACAACTGACTACATGTTTTTATATTTTTTATATATTCTTTATGTGTATGTTGAGTTACAGAATGCAATTTCATTTTTAAAATGACTTCATACCTAATATATATTTTACTATATACAATATAAAATGGTGCCAGCTTTGTGGCGTAGCAGGTAAAGCCACTGCCTGCGACATAGGCATCCCATATAGGCATCAGTTCAAGTCCCAGCTGTTCTACTTCTGATCTAACTCCCTGCTTATGCACCTGGGAAGACAGTGGAGGATGGCCCAAATGGGATACATAGAAGAAGCTTCAGGTTCCTGGCTTCCACCTGGACCTGCCCCAGCTGTTGGCAGCCATTTAGGAAGTGAGCCAGAGGATGGAAGATTTCTATCTCTCCCTCTCTGTCATAACTCTTTCAAGTAAATATATAAATCTTAAAAAAAAATTAAAAATATATAAGGGGCCAGTGCTATGGAGCAGGTTAAACCTCCTCCTGCAGTGCCAGCATTCAATATGGGCTCCAGTTCAAGTCCTGGCTGCTTCACTTCCCATCCAGCTCCCTGCTAATGCACCTAGGAAAGCAGCACAAGAGGGTCCAAGTGCTTGGGTCCCCGCACCAACGTGGGAGACCCAAATTAAGTTCCTGGCTTCAGCCTGGCCATTGTGGCCATTTGGGGAGTGAACCAGCGGATGGAAGATCTTTCTTTCTCTGTATTTCTGTGTTTCAAATAAACCTTTAAAATATACATATAATAAAATATATTTTGACATTTTGTTTAATGTCATTTAGAATTTTAAGTAGATAGTAAAATTAAATGTGTTACTTTCCATTGTTCTAAGCACTTTTATTGTGAACTGGTTAAATTTAATTATAATTCCTCTCCCCATCTTAAATGCATGCGGTTTGATTTTTTTTTTTTTTTTTTTTTTGACAGAGTGGACAGTGAGAGAGAGGGACAGAGAGAAAGGTCTTCCCTTGCCGTTGGTTCACCCTCCAATGGCCGGCCCGCTGCGGCCAGAGCACCGCGCTGATCCGATGGCAGGAGCCAGAATCCAGGTGCTTTTTCCTGGTCTCCCATGGGGTGCAGGGCCCTAGCACCTGGGCCATCCTCCACTGCACTCCCTGGCCATAGCAGAGAGCTGGCCTGGAAGAGGGGCAACCGGGACAGAATCCGGCGCCCCGACCGGGACTAGAACCCGGTGTGCCGGCGCCGCAAGGTGGAGGATTAGCCTATTGAGCCACGGCGCCGGCTTCAGTACAACTTTTAAAATAATTGTAATTAGAAATTTCATTTATTTTTAGACCTAATTGAATTAATTCCTGTAAATTTGGTAATTCCTCAGAGAAGGTAGGGGTGAGGAGATGTGTGATGTTGGAGAGCTTTTACTTTGAAACATACAAAGCATTTTTACATTGCTTCTTTGTAACATGGCTTATTTAACTCTTTATCTCTCGTAAGTGACTTGAGATCATCCAGGGCAAGACTCCTTGAACTGTTCACTGATTTGAGCTGTAATCCAGAAATGATGAAGAATGCAGCAGATTTGTATTTTTCACTTTTACAAGGTTAGTTATATGAAATTCTGTCCTTTTTTAAAAAACAAAACTATACAAAAATTCGCTTGTAATTTTTAGACTTCTCAAATGTGAATAGTTTAGTCTTCCAGGCTATATTGTTTGGTATGCTTGAGTTTCGGAAACGTGAGAATATATTGGTGGCGTGTGGTCTTTCTGACAGGTTGAAAGTTAGATGTGCATGTGTGTCTTGTTAACTCAGGAGAAGAAAGATAGCTGCAGGTTTCATCCAGACCTGAAGAAGTAAATATCTGGAATTTCTGAATATAACACTTGATATTTCTTCTAAAACCGGATTATCTTGTATCCTTTTTAAGGTTTCATAAATTCATCGGATGAGTCTACTCAAGAAAGCAAGTTACGATATATTCAAAATTTCAAGTGGACTGATACATTACAAGGACAGGTTCCCAGGTAAACAGTGCTGACATAACACTAAATTGAAGCTAGTTTTCCTAACAATGTAGCTACTGGGTAACTCATTGCCTCTGTGTTTGAAGAAGAAATGTGTAGGTCTGGTCAGCATTTTCTCTTCTCAGGAAATCAATTAAAAACATTTAACTTAAATCCTAATGCATACCATTAAGTAAAAATATAATCTGTTTCTCCCAGACCAAATTGGTTTTTGAGGTAATCAGTACAGGTGTTAGCTAGAATTGACAGCCTTGACTTGAATAACAAGAAGAATGGTTTGGGAATTGAGAACCCAAACACGGCTTTCAGTCTTTGCCTGAATTCAAGCTCAGTAGAATTTTATTTTTTCTCTTGCTTTCCTTTTTCTAATGGGATATTTCAGATGTGTTTAGTCCTATCTCTTCAACACTATACTCTTTTGTTTCCCAGTATTTATTTTATCTCTTCTTATCACTGTCTCTTTACTTTTTAAAAACTTCAAAGCCTTTTCATTACTTAGTGGAAATTATAACAGAAAACAGATTATAGTGGGGTTCATTGTTTTTGGTAAGATTTTACTTATTTTTTTTAAAAGGCAGAGTTACAGAGAGAGAAAGAGTGGTCTTTGATTCGCTGGTTCACTCCCCAAATGGCCGCAATGGCTGGAACTGGGCTGATCAGGTGCCAGGAGCCTTTGATGTTTCCCCCATGCGGGTGCAGAGCCCAAGCACTTGGGCCATCTTCCACTGCTTTCCCAGGCCATAAGCAGAGAGCTGGATCAGAGGAAGAGCAGCCAGAACATGAACCGGCACCCACTGGCACCGTCCATGGGACTAATTTTTTAGGTACTTTTAAAACACCACTGAATTGTTAAAATACCCTTATACCTTTCTCAGTTTGCTTTGAAATTATTGTTTTATTAAAAACAGAATGGAAGGGTGTGAAGATTGTTGAAAGATCATGACAAGGGGTTGCATGACAATGGCAAGGCTATAGATGTTGGATTCATACAAATCCAGATGGAGTCCCAGGTTTCCAGTGAGTTAACATCTGCATCTTCGACTGTATATAGGTATTCACAGATATAGGACCTCATGAAGGAAATTTATGTATATAATGTAATATTATTTTTGTGTATAATGTATATAATATTATATATGTATATAATATTTATGTATACAATATAATATTAGGAATATAGGAAGATGTTCATTAAGTGTTAGTTTCCTGTCTTCCTTGGGAATATTATGTGTGGAATTTATAAATTAGGTAGGAAGAGCAGACTTTGAGTCCTTTCTGAATTTTAATATTCTAGAATACTAAGATATTTCTAAAGCCTCATTTTTGGGGCTGGCATTCTGGCATAGCAGGTAAACCCACTGCCTACGACAGTGGCTTCCCATACAGGTGCCAGTTCCTGTCCTAGCTGCTTCACTTTGATCCAGCTTCCTACTAATGTGCTTGGAAAAGCAGTGGAAGATGGCCCAATTGTTTGAGCCCCTGCCACCCACATTGGAGACTGGGAAGAAGCTCCTGTCTTCAGGCTTGCTCAGCCCTGGCCATCATACCCAGTGGGGAATGAACAAGCGCTTGAAAGATCTCTCTCTCTCTCTCTCTCTCTCTCTCTCTCTGTAACTCAGACTTTCAAAATAAATAAATATTTAAAAAACAAGCCCTGATTCTATGTTTTTCCTTATGTAATCCCTTTGCTTTTCATCCAAAGTTAAGGAATATTTTCTAAAATTTATTTATTTAAAGAATCCAACCTCAAGACTTTGACAGATTTTAAAATGTTTTGAGTTACTGGGGCTGGCGCTGTGGCGTAGTGGGTAAAGCTGCAGCCTGCAGTGCCGGCATCCCATATGGGCACCGGTTCAAGTCCCAGCTGCTCCACTTCCAATCCAACTCTCTGCTATGGCCTGGGAAAGCAGTAGAATATGACCCAAGTCCTTGGGCCCCTGCACCCACATGAGAGACTCCCCACCCCCTCTCTGCTTCTCCGTCTCTCTCTGTGTAACTCTGACTTTCAAATAAATAAATATTTCTTTAAATGTTTTGAGTTACATAAATTTGGCAATTTTTTCCACCATTCAAGTTTTTTTTTTTTTTTTTTAAGATTTATTTTATTTATTTGAAAGACAAAGTTACAGAGAGAGGTAGAGACAGAGAGAGAGGTCTTCCATCCGCTGGTTCACTCCCCAGATGGCTGCAACGACTGGAGCTGCACCCATCAGGAGCCAGGAGTTTCTTCTGGGTCTCCCTCTCTGTCTCTCCTTCTCTACCTCTTAAATAAATAAAATCTTTAAAAAATATATATATAGTTCTTTGTCATTTTGACTTGAATGTTCAGTAGGCTTCATGTAGCAATGTCTGTATAATTGATAGAACTTGACAATTGTATTTTTAATTCCAGTGCTCAGCAGGATGCTGTTTTTGAATTAATCTCCATGGGATTTAATGTAGCTTTATGGTATACTAAGTATGCTTCAAGACTGGCTGGGAAAGAAAAGTAAGTTAAGGGGGAAGAGTTACATGTATGTATGTTACTTTTCAAATATATAGAGCTTCATCATTAAAATGTGTAGGCTGTTGACTAAAACATACTTCAGAGAAGTGAGAAATTGCCCATAATGTTAATAGTTTAAGTACTAGAATTATGGAACCTGGTGTTAAGGGTGGGGTAGGGGTTAACCTTACCATATGAAAGGTTTTTCTATGTAAGATTGCAAACCATGAAACCATAAGGGATAAGACTGAATATTTGACTACATAGAAGTATCATAAACAAAGTTAAAAAAGGACAAGACTGGTCAAAAACATTGCAGTGTATATGATAAATTGTTTTTAAAGTGTATATTCCTGTACATCAACAAAAGCTACTAAATCAGTTGGAAAAATATAATAAAGAACAACAGGCAATCAGAAATACAGAAAGTTTTTAAGTATGTGAAAAAATGTTTTCAAGGATGTGGGGAGCAATCCGGACTAGACTGAGTTACTGGAATTAAGACTTATTCTATGCATCTGCTCTCCCACAATATGGCGCTGGGAGAGAAGAAAACAGCTTTTACACAGCTGCCTCCAGTTCAGCCAATAAACTGTAGGACTTGCTCCTGATTGGAGGAGAGCAGCGTACTCGGCGTGTGGGCAGCCGAGTTGGGATTGGCGGAGGAGGACTATAAAGGAGGAGAGAGACGGCATGCACGGGAAACATCTAAGGGGAACATCTAAGGGGAACACCTGTGCAGCCCCCGAGAGAGCCGGCCGGCAGTGTGCCGCTCCCCTGCGGAAGTGGGGAATGTGGCAGGGGGAACCGCCCTTCCATGGAGGTGGAAGGGACAGTAGCCAACCCGGGAAGAACCAGCAACAAACCCGGGGAGGGCCGAGCAGACGAAAGAACAGCGCAGGGTCCTGTGTCGTTCCTCCACGAAGACGGGGAGCGACATAATGGTGCCGTGACTCGGATATGAAGCCTAGGCAGGGCTTAGTGTCGTTCCTCCACGAAGAGGGGGAGCGACAAAGGATTGAAGAATTATAAGATTAAGATGTCATTTTTATAATAGTTCCGGTATATTCAGCAGTTGGAAATATTCTATATGTGGAAATAATATGCAACCATTTAAAAATAAAATGGAATTGTATGTGCTGATCTAAAACTATTGCTAAAGTAAGCTGGTTAAAGCAGGGTTGGAAATGTGAGGTGGCTACCATTGTGTATGTGTTTTTAAAGTGTCTATATATTAAATATATAATATTTTGTGCTTGTTTATGTACATAGCATGTCTGGAAGTACAAAAAAAGCACTTTTGTCCAGAGTTTACCTCTAGGCAGGGCCTTTTTTCATTTGTAATGTCTTCTTCAATATTTTTCATGTACATTTGTGGTTTCTTAAGTGTCAGACTTTTTAAAAGGAAGAGAAACAGTGGTGAAAACACAATTGACTAATTTGGTTTTATGGTAAAATAATAGTTGTTTTAATACCAGAAACAAGTTTGATCTTCTAATATGACCACTGTCTTTAAGCATAACAGAGGATGAAGCAAAAGATGTCCATCGAAGCTTAAAAATTGCAGCTGGGATTTTTAAACATTTGAAGGTAAAAAAGAAAAAAAAAGAAAAAGTTTATACTTATGTGTACTTATGTATTCCTAATGCTTTAATTTTTTACTCAAATGTTTTATTATATGAAAAGAGCTAATAGAGTTGTCCCTTGATGTCCACAGGGGATTGATTGCAGGATCATGCCACCAAGATACCAAAAAACTTGGATGCTCAAGCCCTTTATATAAAATGGCACATAATTAGCATATAATGTGTGCACATCCTCCCTCCTGTATACTTTAAATCATCTCTAGATTCCTCATAGTACAGTATAAATGCCATATAGATAATTGTTCTATGTATAGGAATAGTGACAAGGAAAAAAGCCAGCACGTGTTCACATAGGCAGTTTTTCCTTCACATGATCTCATCCTTGGTTGGTGAATTGGTGATTTGGAACCCTCCAATATGAAGGGCCAACTCTCTTTTCCTTATGTTAACTGCCTTATTGAGGAGCACAGCCATATACTGAATATTGAGTGTCTCCATTTTGGTCTTAAAATTCTCAGTGACTTTTATAATTAGAAATTTCAAGTTGTAATACACTGCTTTTTTTGTTTGTTTGTTTTTTTGTTTCCTGAAAAGATAGGAAGAAAAAACAAAGCAGAAAAATTGATGGCTCTTACCATTTTCTTGTTCTTCCTGCAGCAGTTGCCAGGAGCAGTTACGATTTCACAAAACTCACCTTGTGATTGTGTTCTCTGCATTGCAGTGAAAGTGCAAGGGGGACAGTCCAGTGCATTCTGATTATATTAAATGCCCAAGATGCACTGGGAATCAGGAAAAAGGATAATGTGTCTTCCACCCAGATTCTCCCCTGCTGCCATTCTGATTAAACCACTATTTGCTGAAGCCCTCCTGGAGACCAGTGTTGGAGATTTTCCATGATAAAATACGAGCAACCTGTGCTTTCACAGGGATTGAGAAACTGTGGTCTTGGGTTAGGTGAAAAATTGTAGTATATTTTCTTCTTTATATAAAGATAAAAAGGGTTCTTTGTATCTTTAATTATTGTGAATGGACAATTCAGGGTGTCATGTAAAAGGGAATTTTGGTTACAATCTGAGTAAAACAGTTTATAAAATGAAATTGCAACTTGTGGGTCAAGCAATGATTTATAACCCAAGCTTTGTTTTTGGGTTTCTTGTTATTATGAATGCTGAGTTTTAGTACACAGGCGTTCGTATCCTCTGTAAGATGGCCTTTGCTCCTTTTTGTACTTTTTTTGTTTTACTCTAAATTTCTGTTAAGTCGTCCCATTGAATGTATCAGGACTTCTATTTTCTTCATCTCTAACAACTGGGTTAAAATAAGATGTGGCTTCTTTATTTTCTCTCTCAGGAAAGTCACATCCCAAAACTTATCACACCTGCAGAAAAGGGAAGGGATCTGGAGGCCCGGCTCATAGACGCTTACGTTATCCAGTGTCAGGCTGAAGCTCAAGAAGGTATCCTGAATACCGGAAGGCTTTTTTTTTTGAAAAAGTCAACATTGGCATTTAGTTGTTTGAAAAATCGGATTTAGCTGGATTTGAGTTTCAGGTTTTGAGAAATTTATATTGAGGAGTAATTTTATCTTTAGTGTTTGCCTTTATTCTCAAGTTGTGGCTATTTTAGAACATTTTTACTTCATGTCAATTCTGACAGCATAAAATTCTGTAACTCATCTTTTACCCATTACCATGCTTATTTTTTTTTTTTTTACTTCTCTCACTGTTTGGTTTAGCTTGCCTTGAAATCCTCACCTTTCAATGGCAGAAATTGATAAGAATTGTGTGATAATACAATTGTAGGTTTTTTCTTTTCTTTATTGGAAGCTCCAGTTCTCTGAAAATATTTTTCCTATTGTATCATGGTGCTTTGTAGTAGTAATTCTCTGTGATTGGCTGGTAATTTGTGGTAGCAGATCCAGCAAGCTCAGTGTTTTCTGTTTGTTCATGTTTGCATTTTCTGTTACTTTTCATGTTAAAACTTTTAACAAACTGTCTGAAAATCCCAAAAGTACTATCAGCTTATATTTTGCTTTTATAATTACATGTAGGATACATGGAAGTGAATGTGTGGGTTCACTTTGTTGTTTTTGGTTACAGTAACAATTGCTCGAGCAATTGAACTAAAACATGCACCTGGACTAATTGCGGCACTGGCATATGAAACAGCCAATTTCTATCAGAAAGCTGGTAAGCTTATAATTCTGTTATACTTTCAAATTTTTTTTTCCATTTCTGATATATGTATTTGCGACATTTAAAATTTAAGCCTCTCTTACTACATGCAGAATTCATGGTTGTTGAAAATAGGTTTGCCTCAGGTTTACTTTCAGTTTTTAAGTTTGCAGATTTACTTGATTGTAGAGAACAGAGAACAAAGCAAAAATCCTAGATTGTTTTCATTATTTGAAAAAATGATGTTTCCATTATTTTATTTATCTTTCTGGGAAAAAAAGTTAAGCTGGTCACAATTAATATGCAGCATAACTTCTAATGGAGAGTCAATACCATACTTTTTAACCAGGCATATCAAATAGTTACAAAACTTGTTTGTTTTTAATTTTTTTGGAGGGGTGGAAGATATTATAAGTATTATAATAACCTTATAGTTAATATCCTTAAACAGTAGACAAATCCAGAGAATTACCATGTTACAGTTACAGGCTAATCTGTAACTGAACTACTACCAGGTGGGAGGTTGGGACTAGAACTCTGTTCCTCTAATTAGCCTGTTATTTTCATTCATTTATTTAGAAAACATGAATGTTTCTGTTTATGAGATCATTACTGTTTTAGTTGCTGAGTAGAAAAGTAGAATGGGTTCACAGTATAGGGAAAGAGGCCAATGTGCAATCACATTATTTTGTCATGAAATAAATAGCCTGGGTGCGCGAAAGATAAAGGTTGACAAAGGTTGTGTTTTTTGTTTTTTTATAGAAAACTTTTATTTTATAAATATAAGTTTGAAAAGTACAACTTTTGGAAGGTTGTGTTTTAGCCTTATTTTGAATAACAGTAGAAGTTTTAAGTTTCTTAAGTTTTTACAGAAGTGGGGAATTTTTTTCTGCCAAAGGCCATTTGAATATTTATAACATCATTTGCAGGCCATATAAAATTATCAGTTTAAAAATTAGCCTGCTATAGATTCATTGAGTTTCTAAGTCCCACCTGCAGTTGCCTTGGCAGGGCCCAGACCAAATGATTTTGCGGCCCTCATATGGCCCATGGGCTGGACATTCCCCAACCCTGCAAGTTCAACATGTGGGAGTAGAACATTTTACAGCATACAGAGAGATAGAAAACAACTTAGTGTGTCCTGGGGCCTTCACACCATCGTTATTAACTGAAACTCATGAGTGACAGGAAAAGAGATGGGGAAAGTGCACGTGTGAGATCAGGAATTGATTTGTAAGTCTGAGAAGTTTGGCTTTTGTTTTGTAGATTTCTGGGATCCATTAAAAAATATAAAACAAGTTTGATGAAGTTTGAGTTTAAGAACCATCCTTATGATTGTAGTATTAGCTGTGGGCTTACCACATGAAGGAGTAATAAATAGGCTGCCTTTACTTAGCACTTAGAAAAATTCTTGGGAGGCCATGTTGTGGTACAGTGGGTTCAGCTGCAAGTTGTGATCAGCAACAGCATCCTATATCCACTGTTTCGAGTTCCAGCTGCTCCACTCCTGATCCAGAGTTCTGCTGGGAAGGAAGCAAAATATAGCCCAAGCAAGTACTTAAGCTATCCAGGTGGGAGACAGGATGGAGTTCCTGACTCCTGGCTTTGGCCTGGCTCTGGCTTGGCTGTTGGGACCTTTTGGTTAATGAATTAGCATATGGCAGATCTCTCGGTCTCTCCTTGTTGCTCTGCCTTTCAAATAAATTGAAAAATAAATCTTTTATTTTTAACAGAAGAATTGTTATAAAAATAACAGGAACTGGAAAGGTGTTTGGCCATAGGATACCTGAGTGTGTGTGTGTTTTACACAAGATTCAGGGAGGAGGGAGGGGGTACATGAGATACGAGCATCCTCCATGTTTCTGACTTGAATGACTAGATTGCTTATTGTGTTGCTGTATGATGTGAATTTTTTTTAATTAGGTAATGTTATAAACAGCATTTACCTTGAAGTTGTGTTCACGTTATTTTTTATCATTGTCTTTAATTTATAGTTACATTAACCAACAAATCAAAGAGATGTCATTGTATTTAATCTTATTATATAGCTTAAATTGCCATTTGGAAAAATAAATCACTTCAGATAATGAAGTGGATTTTTTTTTTACTGTGTAAATGCTTGAGTATTAGTATCAGAACATACTAACTAAAAGGCTTCTAGTGAATCAGGGTGAAATTATATTTTGCTTTTTAAAATGTAACTTTAGATCATACTTTATCCAGTTTGGAGCCTGCATACTCTGCTAAATGGAGAAAATATCTTCACTTGAAAATGTGTTTCTACACAGCTTATGTAAGTATTTATAGCCAAAAAAGCAATGCAAATAAATGACTGTCTTTCCAGCCCCTTGAGTGCCAGGTCTCTCATCTCACCAGACTCTGCATTAGCATTTTACAAAGAATGGACAGCTCTTAGTCAGAGTTTGGTGATAGTGCAGCCATTGTGAACTAAAGTGGGTGGAAAGAGATAATGTAGAATTGTAGGACTGAATTATAGCAATGGAATTACTGTTTGCTTCAGAACCCACTTTGAGGCTGCATACTTAATGAGAATTCTCTCAGTTGTTTCATCTTGTAAGCTGAGAAGGATACTTCTCATGATAATCTTGATACGTGCCACACAGTGTATCATCCTGAACATTTTGGAAGTCGGTTACCAGTCTTTTATTGCTCACCAAACTTAATTGTTTTGCTGATTAGAATATTGTGGGAGAGAACCAAAAACCTTTTTGAGTCCTAAGTAGATAGTTTTATTTCTTACCATTTGTTTCCAAGCATATTCTGTAAACCCTTGCACCGAAGTGGATGTTTAAAGAGTAACCTTTCAAGCTGATAGATTTCTCTGGAAATCTCTTCAATCCTTAACCTCAGAAGCCTCCCTCTCTTTCCCTCTGTGCTAGCACAATAATTTCCTTCTTGATCTGCTGTCCTGGTTCAGTTTTTGTTTTTGTTTTTAAATTTCAGCAAGTAACTTGGGCACTCAGGACAGGGTTAGAAGGCTGTTTGGATACAAGTCGATACTATTCCACCTTGGGTGTCAAGAGAGATGGGGGAAAGCTTATTCAAGTAGAGAGATAGGATTGTGTTGATATTTCAAGCAATGGATAAAGGAGTTTTTAAAACAATACTGTTGGAATGCATGTGAGAAAAGAATGAATACAAAATTATTTCTTTTATCAGGCTTACTGTTATCATGGTCAGACATTGTTGGCTAGTGATAAATGTGGTGAAGCAATCAGGTCTCTCCAAGAAGCAGAAAAATGTAAGTAATCCTGCCAGAATATTAACACACTTTTTTAAAAACAAATGGCTTATCATCAGGGACTGATTAAGGGGATTTTGGCTGGGTGCATGATAGGGAATGGGAATCGGTAGGTAATTGGAGGAAGGAAGAATGTCAGAAACCTGGAACCTAGAGAAAATACCTTCCTCTGGCAGTATTTATACTGGTATTGCTATTAATGCCAGGTAAAGAATGGTATGTCTTATCATCTCTGATGTAAAGCTTTTTAAATATAAATAAGCATGCTTAATTATACTCAAACAACTTTATATCCCTTTCATATGTAGTTTATGCAAAGGCAGAAGCACTATGCAAAGAATATGGAGAAACAAAAGGACCTGGACCAACAGTCAAACCATCAGGACACTTGTTCTTCAGGAAACTTGGAAACCTCGTGAAGAATACACTAGAAAAATGTCAGAGAGAAAATGGGTTTATGTGAGTTCAACCTAATACTGTTTTAATAATATTAGTATTATATACTTAAAATATATTAAAATATTAGTATTTTAGTAGTATCACAGTTTGTTAGTCTATTCTCCACGGTTTATTGTTAAATTGAATTTCAGTTTAGCATTAGCTTTCTATTTAAATTGGTAGTAAAGTTCAGTTGTCTAGGGCCTAGCTTTTATTCTACTTACAATTACATAAGTGGATTTTAAAGTTTAGACATGAAGTCTTAACATACAACTCTTGTCATTAGGACACCCTCATACTATCCTGTTTTTCTACCAATTTTGTTTCCTTGCCATTCTTTCTGGTTATGAAATAATATATTGTCTTCTGTCCTTTTGCTTATTCATCTTGCTCTGGTTTCAGCTACATAGCAGGAACATGAGGTTTTGCATTTCTCCCCAGTCCTTTGAGGTGTTTTCCATGATTAAGTCAATGTCATTCACACTGTAGGTCACCACCTGTATAGGTTGGTGACTCAATCTTGCTGCAACTTTTTCTCTTTACATTCTTCCTCTCTTACTCTGTATTTTTTCATTGCTCAGACATGCCTGGTTCACTTTTAATTACTTCCTTTGGAAAGGGTCGCTGGTTGCCCATTTTGTGGTGACATTCTGCATCCTTCATAGCCTCAGTTACCTTGCATTGTGACTGAGAAGTTTCTTAACTTTCTCATCTATTCATTTGTGGGCTATAAAAGGCAGAGAAATCTCTCATTCATCATTAATTTGTCATTGTCTCCAAAGGACCTTGAACATACTAAGCACTCAAATAGTTACTGAACAAAATAATAAATTGCTGTTTAAATTGCCTTTTGCAGTTACTTTCAGAAAATTCCAGCCGAAGCTCCACAACTGGAACTCAAAGCAAATTATGGTCTTGTAGAGCCTGTACCTTTTGAATTTCCTCCTGCAAGTACTCAGTGGACACCAGAAACATTGGCTGCCTTTGATCTCACCAAGAGACCCAAGGATGACAGTGTATGAGATTGAATTTTTTCCTTCCATTCACAAAAGTTTAAAAAGAATTCAGAAAGGTGCAGTTGGATAAGAGGAATGGCTTCCAATGTTCTGTTGCACAGGAGGGTAACTATGATTGATAACATTTACTTGTACATTTCAAAATAGTTAGTACAAAAGATTTTGAATGTATCCAACAACAAAGAAATAATCAATGTTTGAGATGATGGATATCCAGATTACCTTACACTAAGGAGTATACATTGTGTACATGTGTTGAAACTCATTTTTAAAGAGAATTCATACTTTTTGATATTTTTCTCTATTTTGATATTTTAGGAAAATATATTTGCCTTATGTTAAATTACCTAGTTATAGTGCTTGATGTGATCTGTTATAGAATATTCTCAAAGATAAGATCTCTGGGCCTTAATAAATGTCTTTTTTTTAATTTATTTATTTGAAAAGCAGAGGTAGTTACAGAGAGGCAGAGGCAGAGAAAGAAAGAGAGAGGTCTTCTATCCGCTGGTTCACTCCCCAATTGGCTGCAAAGGCCAGAGTTGTGCCAGTCCAAAGCCAAGAGCCAGGAGCTTCTTCTAGGTCTCCCTTATGGGTGCAGGGGCCCAAGAACTTGGGCCATCTTCTGCTTTCCCAGGCCATAGCAGAGAGTTGGATTGGAAGTGGAGCAGCTGGTACTTGAACTGGTGCCCATATGGGATGCCGGGACTGCAGGCAGCGACTGTACCTGCTATGCCACTTCCCTGGCCCCCAATATCTTCTTATTGTTTACAAAATCAACTGATGTTGTGCTCAACACATTATCTTCCCTTGCTACAGTTTGACAGTGCCTCCTTTAAGAAGAGTGTAGGGGATTATTCATGTTTATATTGCATAGGAGAAAAGATCATGTTTATATTGCTATAACAGTACTCTGTTTTCAGTTTAGCATATTGTAGGTTATTTAAAGATTTGACTTAATTTCAACCTTTCATGAAATTTTCCAGGGGTAAAATGAGTGCTTTTTTTTTTTTTTTTCACTTAAATCCAAGTCCCTCTTGGTGTTCTTAACCAAGAGGTAGGTTAAGTGGTAATTTTTAGCTCAAACTACTGAAATAGGGGCCGGCGCCGTGGCTCACTTGGTTAATCCTCTGCCTGCGGTGCCAGCATCCCATATGAGCACTGGATTCTAGTCCCGGTTGCTCCTCTTCAGTCCAGCTCTCTGCTGTGGCCCGGGAGGGCAGTAGAGGATGGCCTGAGAGCTTGGGCCCCGGCACCTGCGTGGGAGACCAGGAGGAGGCACCTGGCTCCTGGCTTCAGATCAGCAGAGTGCTGGCCATGGCAGCCATTTGGGGAGTGAACCAACGGAAGGAAGATCTTTCTCTCTGTCTCTTCTCTGTCTGTAACTCTACCTGTCGAATTAAAAAAAAAAAAAAAAACCTACTGAAATAACTGTGTATCTGTTACAAAAGGAATGAGAATTTTTTGCAGCCATAGCCCCTTTCTTAACATTGCAGTGAAGCCATGGATTCTTAAAATAACTATTGTTACATCCTTTGCAGCCTCTAAAATAGTACCCTGAGAGCCTGAGAGCCTCCTAGGTTACATCTGAACTTCAGGCTTCTGCATGCATCGGTTTGTCACTCACTTTATCCCTCTTCAGAAAGAGCACAGAGTTAGAACAGTAGCTTGATTTTTGCCTGCCAGTCTGTCTTCATCTTCATTGAAATGTTGTCTTTACATTATGTATTAAATAACATGTAGCTTCTGCAATAGCTTTGTTAACCCCAGTGTTTTGTCATCTAGTATGGCATCTTTTAAAAGTCTGAAGTGGAAAAGAGCTCATGTTTATTTCCCGATCTTAGTGTGCGTACTTACACTATTTTTCTTCCTACCTAGGCCAAACCCAAACCAGAAGAAGATGTGAAACCCGTGAAAGAACCAGATATCAAACCCCAAAAAGACACTGGTTGCTACCTATCCTAACATACTTCTGGAATAAGATGTGCACTTAAAATTTACTGCTTGTGGATAAGATAAACCATGGACCTTAGTTCATTTTTCTTAAAATGATTTCTCTGAAACTTTAGAATTACTACATTCAGAGGGAACCTGGCTCCAGTTTATTTGTTCTTGATTTTGAATACAGTGGAGATGACTCCATGCTTTGTTTCCAGACTCCTTTTTAATCAGGACAACGCTTGAAAGATTTTATTGTGCCTCTTATGGGTGTATTTGGGAGTTAGGTCTTTTTTTGAACTCTGGATAATAATAATTTCAGATTAATATATTATAGTTGTAAATCATGTAGCTTTCACATTCAGGTATATTTTCACAAAAGAGTTTATGTTCTTCCTTATTTGATCCCTGAAGAATGATGGGAATTAGTTTTTAACAAAGACAGGGTTTTTTTTCCCCTCACCGTTGTATTAGTTTGAATACAGACCTGATATGGTCTGCGTCATTTATCTTTTCTGGTAGAAAAACAGTGACTTAAAGATCAGAACACTTTCATACCAAATCCCTTAAATAGATTAGAATCTATAATTTACTTGAAAATCAGTGTTTATAGGTATGTTGAGTCTTTCAAGAATGTATCTCTATTCTTATAGCCCTGTGTTTCATTCTGTTTCAGTAACCCTAAGTTGATTTTTACAAGTACGTTTTCTAATGGGTTTTTTACTTAGAGAAAGAACTTTGTTAACAGCTGTTAATGTTTCTTATGGAAGAGAAGACAGTACAAATAGAAAATGTTTTTTGAAGTAAAATTTTTTGTGATGTAAAGAAGAAACTTTAATTACGTGAGGTAGGTTGTCCTGAATTATACTGGTAGCTCTTTACTTCTGTGGTAAAGAAGTTACAGTAAAATGCCTTTGTTGCCTGATTCAGTGTACATTGTTTTTTTATGGTTTTCTAATACATGTGTCCTGTCGGGATTGTATTGCTTTAGTCCAAAGGCCATAGCAAAAACTTAGAGAACAAACTTAAATACAGTGTAATATGAATAATAGATTGTAATCTTGGGAACAGGTAGGTTAGCATGTGCACAGACTTGGAAAATAGTGGAGGCATAATACTGTAACAAAAGTCACACATCTGTAAGTTTATCTTTTGATTATTCTCCTGGCATGTTAGCCAGTTTTCCTATTGTAATGGACAGATCAGTCCACTTAATAGAAATAATAGTGTGTATGGAGAACTTGCTGTTTGCCAGGCACTGTGCTGAGCAGTTACAGATAAACCATTAATTCCACAGAACAGCCTTGTGAGGAATGAATAAAATCTGCACAAAGTGCTAATGTAGTAATACACATTTCATTGTGAAGAATGACTAGAATATGCCCAAGTCAATATTGTGATCAGATGAGTGATTACTTAAATCCTGTATTGTAGTTTACACTGCTTTAGAGACACTCCTTAGGAAACACTACACAGAATCAGTGTGTTTTTTTTTTTAATATACAGAATTGCTAATTTGTGCTTACAGTATGATATTTAATATTTGAAACCACAGTTTCCAGAGTAAGTGGAGTAATAACAAACAGGCATTTAGTTTTATTTTGTTGTCTATGGGAAAAAATAATTTATTAAACTTCCCCATATCTTGTGTGATCCTCATTACAGAGTCCATCGTCATCTTTGCTGTTTAGCCATTTACTGACAAAATCCTGCGCAGCACTGCACAACTCTTTTCTTTCTACCTATAGGACTTGTTTATCTTAGGTAATAGAGCCTATTAACCTAGTTACTAAATTTTCACATTGACATTTTTGTGTATTCTATTACCATACATGAAATGGAAACATGTATTATGCCCAGTGCTTCTGTAGAACTCAGTAAATACTGGTATTACTTTAAATCAGTAATTAAACATTCTATTGGCTCAGCAAAGGTGATACTCTGTGATTAAAGTATCCCATGCCATCATATTTAATGCTTTCTGACATGACATTGAGAATTTGGGGAAATTACCAAATTCAGAGTTGTGTGAAAATTAGAGAGATGTAACTATTTGTGTTAACTGCATTTGGTACCACGCAGTGACAGCTAACATATTACTTCTGCTAAAGGTGTTATTTGTATAATGAGTTATCTTTTTATTTATGAAAATAAAAGTAATTTTACTTAGAAATGTGTTGGGATTTTTTTGTTTTTTGATAAATATTTTTAATTTACTAAGCCAGTAACAGAGTTAAAATAATATAGAATCATAAGTCTTTAGACTATTTTCAAATGATACATATTTGCATCCATTGTTTTATGCTTTTTTTATGAGTTCATGAAATATTTATTACTTCTTGACCTGTTCAGTTTCTACTTGTGTGGATCAGTGCCCCTTACCTCTTAGTTGCAAGGTAGAATTTGATTGGCTTGTCAGTGTCTGGTGCAGTGTTACCCATGTGATGCATTGTTTGCGTACCATGGTCAGCTGAGCTGGAGCACTTACTCATTTTCGCTGTACAGTAGAAAACTGTACTTCGCAAACTTGAGGTAAATTTTATTCAGAAATAGTTTCTTATTTCCCCGAATAATTGTGCTTCAGAAAGTCCTGCCTTTCTTACCTTTTTTGACATGAATGTAAGAAAAAATTTGCAGTATCACTTTGGTCACCATAACATTGTATCTGTATACTGTTTTTCTTGACATTGAAGTAATTTAAGATTTTATTTTAAATAATTTAGTATTATAAATGTTAAGGAATTAAAATAACCTGAAAGGTGAGTTTACTCTGAATTACAGAGCAGAAATGCATATTTGATTGTGCTTAGCTGAGGTTGCCAGAGCTCTCAATTCAATGTGTTGAATGCCTGTTATGTACTTAATGAAGCAGCAGTGAATTCATGCAGCACTCTCGCAGTGCTTCCCAGAGAAAGTGTTCAGTCACCAGTGACTTGCAGTGTGCTGCTCTGATGTCCGACTTCTAGTAGTTTGCCTGAAGGTATTGACAGCACTTTCTCAGTGGTGAGCTGGGAAGGACCAGGATCTTCGGTGGCTGCAGCTCCCTGGCTGGTCACCCCCAGAATTCTTTTTTTTTTTTAAAGATTTATTTTTATTTATTTGAAAGAGTTACAGAGAGAGGTAGAGACAGAGAGAAAGGTCTTCCATCCGATGGTTCACTCCCCAGATGGCCACAACAGCTGGAGCTGCGCCGATCTGAAGCCAGGAGCCAGGAGCTTCTTCAGGTCTCCCAAGCGGGTGCAGGGCCCCAAGGACTTCGGCTATCTTCTACTGCTACCCCAGGCCATAGCAGAGAGCTGGATAGGAAGAAGAGCAGCCGGACTAGAACCAGCGCCCATATGGACTGCTGGGGCTTCAGGCCAGGGTGTTAACCCGCTGAGCCACAGCGCCGGCCCCCACCCCAGAATTTCAAAGAGTTTTGAGCATTATCTGCCATGATGTAGGAAAAGTTGAGAAACACCCCCATGGCAAAGGTATTTTGGTAACTGGGTGCATGTGCATGCACATACTGAATATGATTTTCACAATACTGAAAATGATTTAAAAAAAAAAATCTGTCAGGCAATGTTCTGTCAGTAATTCACAAAGAGCAGCAATTTATACCTTTGTTTATCAGATTTCACATTTTTGTGCACAGTTCCCTACCACTTTTCTGCACCAAACACATTCCATCTCCCTCCCTCCATCCCCCCAGTCCCTGATGTGAGAGAAATGGCACTGAAGACTGTTCTGTGCTGCTCTGCTTCTGAGGCTGAGCACTGGGACTTGAGCTGTCCCTTAACTGCTCTCGCCAGGATGTTGACCTTTAAACCACTGCAGGGGAAGCGGAAAACATAGGAGCAGAAAGGGGCTTCTAGGGTAGCCCAGGCAAATGGTGCTAGTTGGCTCTTCTCTGACTTCCCAGCACCGGGTCCTGGCTGTGTTTTAACCTGGGCCATTTGGAAACATTTTTTTTAGATAAGTGAAAACTGAACACTAGAAAATACTAGGTAGCATATCTTGAAGTTAAGTGCCAAGATGTGGAACTAGTGTGTTATGTTCTTGGTACAGTGTTTCAGTAGAGGAGTTAAGATGAAATGATAAGGAGTGGGTGTTTGGCCGGCATTGAGAAGTTCTGCTCCATGTCGAGAGCCAAGGTTTGACCCCCAGCTCAAGCTTCTGACTCCCGCTTCCTGCCAGGGCAGATCCTGGGAAGCAGCAGTGATGGCTCAGTAATTGGGTTCATGCTGCCCACGTGGGAGACCTGGATTGAATTCCCAGTATCTGGCTTCATCCCTGGTTTTGGCCCTGGCTTGGTCCTAGTCTGCAGGCATTTGGGAAGTGGAACCAGTGGATGGGATATAATTATGCTCTAACTCTCAAATAAGTGATGGCTCAAAATCCCAAATGCTGTAAGTGTAACGAGAAAAATATTAAATGAAGGATAGACATTTTAAAATAGGAAATGGTAATGGGTCCACTTTAATTTTTCTATTCTATTATACAGGACCTTAACCCTCATTAAAATTAAATATATAATTCACTTATTAAACAGAAGATAACAGCAGTCAACATATAGGTAAGAACCCCCCCACACACACACACACACGCACGCACACTCACCAACTCTTGAGGGGCAGGGAAGGGAGGAGGGAGACAAGATACCAGAAATGTGGAGCATGTTCAGGTTAAGGGCTGAGGTCAGGTGTGAGTAGAGGGTGGGGCATGGTGGGCGCTGCTGAAGGGAATGGTAATTTCCTGTGCAGAGAGGGAGGTGGCCAGGGGAAGCCCCCTTGTGGTGGAACACCTGACCTGAGCTAAGGAACAAAGTGGAAGGGGAGAGCAGCCACACAGTGACCCCTGCAGAGGCGGTATCTGTGCCTCCAAGCAACTGCAGGAAGAAGGCTAGTACAAGGGTAGTACAAGACGAGGTGGGAAAAGTCACGGGTGAGATGTACCTGGAATTTTATTCTGCAGGAGATGGGAACCCACTGCAGACTTCGATGTGGAAGAGTGATATCTGACTTTGAACAATTCAGCAGTTGTTTTTGAGTGTAGACTCCAGAGGGCCAATTAGGGCTGCTGCTGCAATAAAGTGAGAGGTGGTGGCGGAGACCAGGGAGGTGGCACTGGGGTGGTGAATGTATTAGGATTCTGGAAATATCCCAGAGAATTACCTGATGGATGTAATGCAGAGTATGATTAAAAGACGTAAATTAAGAATGATTCTACTGGCCGGCGCCACGGCTCAATAGGCTAATCCTGTGCCTGCAGCGCCGGCACCCCAGGATCTAGTCCCGGTCGGGGGCGCCGGATTCTGTCCCGGTTGCTCCTCTTCCAGTCCAGCTCTCTGCTGTGGCCCGGGAAGGCAGTGGAGGATGGGCCAAGTGCTTGGGCCCTGCACCCGCATGGGAGACCAGGAGAAGCACCTGGCTCCTGGCTTCGGATCAGCAAGCACCTGGCTCCTGGCTTCGGATCAGCGTGGTGCGCGGGCCGCGGCGGCCATTGGAGGGTGAACCAACGGCAAAAGGAAGACCTTTCTCTCTGTCTCTCTCTCTCACTGTCCACTCTGCCTGTCAAAAAAAAAAAAAAAAAAAAGTGATTCTACTGGCTGGTGCCGTGGCTCAATAGGCTAATCCTCTGCCTGTGGTGCCAGCACCCCAGGATCTAGTCCCGGTCAGGGGTGCCGGATTCTGTCCCGGTTGCTCCTCTTCCAGTCCAGCTCTCTGCTGTGGCCCGGGAGGGCAGTGGAGGATGGCCCAAGTGCTTGGGCCCTGCACCCACATGGGAGACTAGGAAAAGCACCTGGCTACTGGCTTCGGATCAGCGCGGTGCACTGGCCGCAGCAGTCATTGGAAGGAAAGACCTTTCTCTCTGTCTCTCTCTCTCACTGTCCACTCTGCCTGTCAAAAAAAATAAATAAATAAATAAAAGAATGACTCTACTGTTTTCAGCCTGAGCAGCTGGAAGAATCAAGTTGCCCTTTATTGAGACAGGAAGACTTCCAGAGGAGTAGATGTGATTTGTGTGTTGGGAGGGCTCGGGGGCTGGCAGAGGGGGTTGCACTGAAAGCATGAGTGAAGACTTAGACAAATTAGGATTGACATGTCTGTAGATACCGCTCTATTAAGGCTGTCAAGGGGGCAGTTGGAGTTGTGACGCTGAGGTTGAGCAAAGTCTGACCTGGAGAATGTAAACAGAGGTCATCCCTGTGTAGATGGGCAGTGTTCACAGCCATCAGCCAGAGGAGATTGTCCAGGGAGGAGATAGAAGAGGCTCAGTCAGTCACTGAGATGATGTAGTCTGTTCCATTACGTTATGTATTGGGAAATTACTCTGGATAGCCTAGACTTGAGGTTTTTAAGAAACAAAGGAGTAGGGCATTCATGAGAATTAAATTGAGGCAAAAAGCTTTATGCAGGGGTGAGTGGCACAGCAGTTAAGATGCTACTTGGGATGGCCACATCCATATCAGATTGCCTGGGTTCAGGTCCCCGCTCTCCAATTCTGATCCGGCTTCCTGCTAATGTACATCCTGGGAAGCAGCAGATAGTGGTTCAAATACTAGGGCCTCTGCCACCCTTGTGGGAGATCTGGATGCTGTTCTGGGTTCCTGGCTTCAGGCTGGCCCAGCCCTTGCTGTTTGGGAGTGAATCAGTAGATTGAAGGTTCTCTCTCTCTCTCTTTGTATGTGTGTGTGTGTCTGCCTATGTCTCTGTCACTCTGCTTTTCAAAAATAAATAAAAAGCATGTCACAGGCAGCGTTAGGACCTCTGTATGATCACTTACAAAATATCCATGTCTAGGTATTTGGCATAAAGTTGGAATATATTCCCCAGGTTTTTGTGAATCAAAACTGTTCACTTTTGAGCTCTCGCTATACACAGGCACAAAGATGAATCTTGTGTAGCATATTCTAAAATGTCCATTAGGTGGCAGAAAAACATTCACTAAATCCACTATGAGCTAGTTCACTTGCTCTTTCTCCCTCTCTCCAGAAAAACATTCGCTGTCCTGTGAGCTAGGTTGGTCTCCCTCCCTCTTTCTTTCCCTCCCTCTGTAAGGAACCCTCTGAATTAAAAGATATATATGTCTATTTACTGCACATTATTATAAAGAACAGAGTCTAGTATTTCCAGAGCACTGACAGGTATCATCAACCTATGTTATAATAGAGGTGAGCCAGGTGTATGTGAGATAGGGGTGTGCATTTATATTTATTTCATTTGGATCAGAAATCTGAGTTCAGATGGTTTTGAAAGGAGGAAAGACCTCTTTTTAAAATTTTTGATATTTAAACTCTTCAGCTTGAAGCAGGTTGGGAGGGGACTGGGAAAGGAAAAAGGAGGAATCCTCTTGGAAAACGATAGTGTCTTGGAAGCAGCCTGTTGGAGCGCCCTATGATACATGAACTCACTAAATCGAAAGTCTTCTATCTTAGTTGTCTTGAAAGAAGCCTGTTGTTTGCACCCTGTGTCATTTGTGCATCGACTACTAAAGCCCAGGTCTCTCTGTTTCTGTTTGGAAGTTGCTTCCTTTCCTACTCTTTTTAAGGTACTGGCCCCCAAATTGCCTGCACATTGGGATAACCTGGGCAGCTTAAAAAATCACTGATGCCCATGTCCCATCCAGAATTGGGATTTAAGTCTGGAGCACTGCATGTTTTCAAAAGAACCTCAGATGATTATAAAGTGACAAGTCTGAGAGCCTCTGGGTTTAGTTCATGGTGAATGTGTAAATGTGGCAGACCTTCCCACAACTCAAACATGTTCCACCCTTTAGACACACAAGAGAACACTTCCACGTCAGCATGGTCAAGGGCTCTGTACGGCTTCAGCCTAGTTTTATGAATTTATCCATTGAGAAACTTTTAGTACCAGATTTGGTACTACTTTCAACACCAAAAGTACCACTTTAGCGATGAAAGAAAAATACAGAGGACTTACGTGAGTTACTGTTTTAGAATGTTTTGATTTTTTGATTATAGTTATAGAATGCTTATTTCCTATGGAACTGATAATATATCCTTTTACAATCTTATGCTCAGCATATAATTGGTCTTACCAAATTAGAATGGATATTTCTGTGGCCTTTGACATCAGAAACTAGATAACACCTCTTCTTATTTCTTACTGAAGCTTTTCTGTAATTTACTGGCACTAGATTGGGGAAAACAATGTTTATCATTCATCTCTCCTGGCTATGTATGACACATGGAACCTTTGATGAGCCTTTTGCAGTTTTGGCCTTGACGACAGTATAGCCTCAGCATTATACTAACAGGATTTGGCGATGTATGCATATATACATAAGCATATGTAAATAAGAATGTATGTGAGCATATATTCCATCATGTTTTAAATGGCTGTAAAACATTATTTAAATTCAGTTATGCTAGTCTTCACTTTAATACCTGACTGGAAATTTGTTTACATTTATTATGATTACTGATTTATTGGAGTGGTTGACAGGTTTTTTTAATTGATTATGCTTTTTCCTTGCTCATTTTCTCTCCTGTTTCTTGCCTTCTGTCAGACTGTTTCTTTTCTTCTATGGATTTTGAAGCTATAAATTAAAACTCCATTTTTTTTTGTTATCTTTAAATTCTTTTTTTTTCAGAATCTACAGATTTTATTTTTGTCAAAAATGTCTATGCGATTGAATAACAGGTTAATTAAAATATTTATAAAATCTGAAATAAACAAGCTTATTAGATAAACTCATTGATGCACTAAATGAGGCAAAGAAAAATGCATGGAACTGCGTAAGAACAATCACACTGAACGGAGCAGTGTCAGCAGTGAGCTGTCGAGTGGACCCAGGCTTTGGCGCGAGAAGCACCCTGCGCAGACACGTGTCAGGCTTCCAGCTTCACCGAGTCCAGGACTAGCCGGGCTTCCTTATATTCCTCGGCTTCTTCCAAGTCTTTTTCACTTTCCAGGATCTGCTGCAGGTCGGTGCAGGCGGCTTCCAGCCTGCGCTGGCAGTCCGGGATCATCATGCGGGACTCCTGCAGGATCTCCGCCTGCTTTTTAATGGCATAATTTTCACCATCTTCAGCTCTCATTTTTTCAATCTTTTCTTCTTGTTTTGCTTCTTTTTCATACATCACTTTTTCTTTGACCAGTCGCTTCACCACGCCGGTCTTGATCTTGATCTGCCTCACGCGAGGGTCGGCCATGGTCCCGGAGCGCTGCGCAGGAGGGGCGGGAGCCGAGCGGCCGGAGGGCGGCGGCGGGCCTATCTTTAAATTCTTAACATGCATACTTAGCAACCTATGCTATACAGCCTATTACAAAACAATACTTAAGAGATCAACTCCTCACGTTTTTTTGTTGCTGTTTAATGCTTAATACTGCTTGGCTTTGTACTGTCCTCACTAAAAGTGTGTTTTAAATTTTTTATTTATTTTTATTTATTTGAAAGGCAAGGAGAGTCAGAGACAGACACAGATATTCCACCTACTGGTTCACTTCCACAGTGCTCTGAATGGCCACAGTGGGGCCAGACTGAAGGCAGGAGCCTAGAACTCAGTCTGGGTCTCCCATGGGAGTGGCAGAGACCCAGGTTCTTCCGTCACCACCTGCTGCTTCACAGTGTGTGCATTAGGAGGAAGCTCAATCAAGAGGGTGGTTGTGACTTGAATCCAGGCACTCTGATATGGGATGCAGGTGTCCAGTGTCGTGAACTGCTGCTCTAACTGCTCACCCCTAAAACAGTGTTTTTAAGGAATAGCGCTGGCATTGTGGCATCGTGGTAAAACTGCTGCCTGCAATGCTGGCATCCCATATGGGCGCTGGTTTGCATCCCGGCTGCTCCACTTCCCATCCAGCTCCCTGCTAATGGCCTGGGAAGAACAGCAGAAGATGGCCCAAGTGTTTGGGCCCCTGTCACCCACATAGGAGACCAGGCTCCTTGCTTCTCAGCCTCCCAGTGGTTTCACCTGCTCCTCCTGACGGTTTCTTCCTGTGGTTTGTACAGTGTTGCCACAAGCACCTCCTCAGCAGGGGGTTGGTTGTAGTGGAGACTCTTTACACCCATTCTCACCGAATGCCTCTCCAAGGCGGTTCTGCTTCCCATCTGACCAAGTTCTGTGGGTTACACTGTCCTTAGATCACTGGACTTCCCCTTGGTCCTCATACAGAGGAGGACAGTGATCCGGGCCCCACGCAGTAGTGTGGTGAAGGCCTGGGGTCCCATTTGTCTCCAGGGGACTGTCTGCATCCCAGTGTCCAGGAGAGGGCAAATCACTTTGTTCCTTTTGCATATCAGGAGTTACTTTTTCTAGTCAACAGTTTATAGATGAGATAGTATTTTATTAACTTAGTTTTATGCAGGTAGCTTCATTTTAACTCCCCTCACAAATGAGACCTGTGATTTGTACTGTTGCTCTATTCCCATGTTGAAACCCCAGCTTCAAGATCTGCATCTGGTTATAAAGCCATCTCGTTTTCGGCTCATATTTGTGATTTAGTTTTCCCTCTTCTTCTGACACCTAGGCTGGCTAGTTCCTTCCTTTCCTGTTCTTCTCTTTCTTCCCTGCCCACTCTCAGCTTTCATCTCTCTCCTTTTATCACTTCCTTAGTGCAGCTATGACTTAATATTTTTGTTTGTTTATTTTTAAAATTCATTTTTATTTATTTGAAAGTTACAGAAAGAGGTAGAAACAGAGAGAGAAAGGTCTTCCATTGCTGGTTCACTACCCAAAGTGAGCTGAGCAGGTCCAGAGCCAGGAGCCAGGAGCTTCTTCTGGGTCTTCCATGTGAGACTTGAGCCATCCTCTGCTGCTTTCCCAGGTGCATTAGCAGGGAGCTGGATCGGAAGACAAACCAATGCCCACATGGGATGCCAGTGCTGTAGGCCAGGGCTTTAAACCACTGTGCCACAGCACCAGTTCCATGTTTGTTTAATTTTGTCCTGCATTTCTATATGTTTGGAACAGCCGAAGGATTATTCATGATCAGCTGTCTGCCATATTTGCTGAATAATCTTAAAATAGACTAAATATAAATATAAATTAAAATATCTCATCATGGTTTCAATTTGTATATCCCTAATGACCCGTAACATTAAGCATCTTTTCATGTTTATTTGCCATCTATAAATCTTGTATGATAATATCTATTCAAATTTTTGCCTTTTTTTAAGTGGAGGTGTTTTGTTCTTTACCTTCTGCATTGCAATAGTTCTTTATATATTATGAACATGAGTCCTTTCCTGAATATATGTATACTTTGCAAATATTTTTTCCCATCTGTGAAATACTGAGAAGCTTCTGCAGCAATGGCTGTTTCCCACTAGCAGTTGCGCGTTTTGCAGTTACTAAAGAGTAAGGGAAATGCTGCTGATATTTTTGTTTGAAGGTGCAAAGTTCACATTTTCACTACTAACTGAATGACTTCCATTTGGTACAGAACTGAATAATCTTTTCTTGGTTTGAAGAGTTGATGGGATCACAGCTCTGATTACTTCTGAACTCTCAGTCTTCTCCATCCACTGAAAATAACTAGACATCTCCTAGCCAAATAAACACTGCCCTGGGAAGCCTGTCCTAAGGTGTCCTGTTTTAATTGGCTAGTTGTATGTTTCCTTGTAGAGAAAGATAATTTCCAGCTTTGAGAACTAGAGAAGAGTGGAACTTCCAAAATGACCACTCCCAAAAGGATTATCCATTTTGCTAATGGAGACACCATGGAAGAATATAGCACAGAGGAGGAAGAAGAAAAAGAGGAACAGAAAATAAATTCGACACTGGACTCTGTAAGCTTTTACTATTAACGCAAGTGGGACTGAATGAATCAGAGATTGAGCCAGATAGTTTGTAGGAAATATCTTCTTTAAAAAAAAATTATCTTATTTACTTGAAAGGCAGAGTGACTAAGAGAAGGAGAAACAGATAAAGAAAGAGATCCCCATCCACTGGTTCATTCTCCAAGTCAGCCTGGATCAGGCTGAAGCCAGGAACCAGAAACTCCATCCGGATCTCCTATGTGGTTAGCAAGGGCCCAAGTACTTGAGCCTTCTTCTGTTGCTTTTCCAGGCTCATTAATAGGGAGCTGATTGGATGCTAAGCAGCCAGGACTTGAACTGGTGCCCACAGGGGATGCTTAACCCCCTGCTCAACAGTACCAGCCCTAGAAATACAGTTTTAAGCCAAGTGTCTTATTTCTTTGCCTTCTAGATCCATGTATAGGTGACTTACAATTCTGATCATCTTAGTTTTCTCATCTATGAGAGAGAAAATGAAACACATTACAATGTATTTTGAAATTTCTGTGTAAGACTCTGTAGTCACCACACCTGTTTTTAATTACCGTGACTTGTTTCTGTGTTTTTTTTTTTTTTTTTCCCCAGTCTCAACTTTCATGGGGGGCCTCCCTATGGTTTTGGGCAGGACGAATAGCAAGCACTTCATTTTCTAGTAAGTACTGCGAAGATTTTTATTTTTTTCTGTCCTAATATATACTCATAGACCCTCCAAGTTACGTGAGACTTCCAATGGTTTAGTCCACTCTGTGGCATTCTAAAGAAGAGATGAGCTGGTCAACTCTACGTCTACACTTTAACCCTCACAAGGGTGTAGACCCACATTTGCAGGTGGATCCTTCCCCTTCTGCCATGCTTGTCAGTAAATTCTTTCTGATGTTGGCCCAGAATTTGTCTTCTACTCGGGTTCTACCCATTGGTCCCAGTTATTCTTAGAATCATAAAAAAAATCTAAATTTCTCTTTCATAGAAAAAAGTTTCAAATATTTGAAGGCACTTGACAGCCCTCTTAGTGTTGGCTCTTCACCTGAATAAGCATGGAAGTTTTTGGAAAACAAATTACTGCTATAGGACGTAGGACGTAGTTCTAAGTTCTTTCATTATAATCACTTTATTAAAGACACTAACTTCATTGACCCCTTCCCAGGGGGCATAATGCATGGCCCTAGTGACTATTCACAACAGATGAAATATTATATCTCATTTTTCTTGACATTCACTAATTTTCTTCAGAACACAATTGTCAGCATCTAATTGCTCATTTCCTTCAAACTTGCATTTGCTCATGAATATGATAAGGAATAAAAAACTACTTTAGAATTGGAGAAAATGTAAAATGTAGCTCTTGGAAATTAATCTTCATTCATTCATTTAAAAATACATTACTGAGTACCTCTGACATGCCCATCACTCTGCTGGACGCCGAGACACAAAAACTATTAATAAATCAGTCTCGCTCTAGGGGCTCAGTGATAACGGATAATATAGACTAGGAAACATGTCCACATTTACCAAACCAATCTGTGATCACAATTGCCAGAGAAGCAGGAGTGTAGGGACCGTGAACTGGGAGCCTCAGAGATGCTGATGTAAGGAAGCTGCATAAGTGTGACCAGTTAAGGTCAACTTGAGGTCTGTGAAAGTGACCAGGGAGTCTTTAAATTGCAAGTACGACAGGAGATGATTTAGACAGATGCTTTGATCCTTTCAAGAATAAGTGCTTTGCACTAGGGTGGAAGTTTAGTGATTTGGAAGTTACTTTCGAGACCCAGGTGAATACCAGTCCTACTGTGACCATAATACATTGGCAGAAAAATGCTGTCTTCCAAAGAGAGCTATGTTTCTGTGAAGGCAAGATTGTTTGAGAGGAGCAATAAGAGATTAGATCAGGTAGAAGAAGCAAAACTCAGTCTGTGGTTGAGAGTATGCGTAACAGGAACTACGGTGATGTGCATGTTGGGGTTGACATAAAATGGCAGGATTGGGATGCATGCTGAAAATAGCTGCCTGGAAGGTTCCAAACAGAACCGTAGTGTTACCATGCCTCCTGCTAGGGCTTCCAGATGGCAGTGAAGGATTAAATATTGTATGCCAGCAGATGGTGCCCTGGTCTTTACACAGAGAATTTGGACAGAATTAGAATCCCGGTGACACTGATAATTAATTTTTTCAATTAAAAATTCTAGCAGGTCATAATCAAGAAAGCCTCCTAAGATTTATTCTAGTATCTTAAAGATTTCTTTTCTATGCACTTACTAGACATGCACTAAAAACAAACAGAATAAAGAGCTCAAGTATTCTAAAAAGATAAGTTGTAGTTTCAAAAAATAGCATTGTTTTAATACACCATATGAGCAAGAGGTGGGATAAGTCAAGAAACCATTAAGTTCTGTAATATGGGGGGAAGGGGCAGGAATTGGAAGACCTATAATTTAGAGGGAAACATTTCTAGAAGACTCCGAGCAACCACTCATTAATCATGCTAAACCCTCATCCCTGCCTGACTGTAACAACGACACCTCTGCAGGCCACCTTGCTATTGTGCCTGGAGACAGACTGAGAAGTTTGTCTGCATGCATGGAATAATTTCTCACATGGGTCTTGGCAACACTGGATTGAGTTGTTGATATCATCTGAAATATACTCACAGCTGATGTTCAACCAGTATTCATGGGGATGAGCAGTATCTACTCCAGTTGCTCAGGACTTCTACCTGTACTGTACCTGTTTGGTATTTTGAAAATCCCTCCTGACATATCCATCTGGAAAGGATAGTTATATGTGATCCCACGGAAAGACAAAAGACTTGGAAACTTTCACTTGAATCCTAAAATTTTGTTGAGAGCCGAAGGCCATTGAAATCTGTCATGAGCCTTGAAGTGAAGTGTAGTAATGTTTCACTCACTGGCAAGTTTAGAATCTTAGCACCTCAACTGATGCTGAACTTCAATTATTATTCCACTTTATCTAAGTGTTGCTTTCTTCTAGCCTGTGAATTCCTCGGTGGAAGATTTGCTGCCTTCTTTGGTCTTACTCAACCCAAATATCAGTATATGCTAAATGAGTACTATAGGATGCAAAATAAGGTAAGTGATGCCCTGACGGGGATGCCAGGGCCCTGAGATGAGAAAGTTGGTTGTTTCAACTTCAGGCCAGTATAGATATTCTCCCTAGCAATCATGTACTATAATTTCTCTGAGTTCCCATGGTTAGACTGACTTTTAAATGTTTTTTATTTTGTGCATTTGAAAGGAGGCAGAGAGAATCAGAGACACAGGGAGATACCCCATCTGCTAGTTCACTCTTCAAATGCCCGCAGCAGCTGGGGCCTCAAAGCCGGGAGCCAGGATCTCAATCTGGTCTCCCACCTTGGTATCAGGGACCCAACCACCTGAGTCATCATTGCTGCCTCCTAGGGTTTGCATTAACAGGAAGCTGGGATCCAGAGCAGAGCTGAGACTGGAACCCAAGCACTCTTGTGGGATTCAGGCCTCCCTAGCAATAGCTTACCTGCTGGGCCAAGTGCCTGCCCAGACTGACTTTCTTTTCTAATACCCCTTGCTTCATGATGCTGTTGTCTGTTGGCCTCAGTTCTGTAAAATCAGGGTGTTGTGGGATGGTCAGAGGATTTAGCTGGGTATGCAGCCTGAGATTGTTCAAAGGTGAAGCTTCTAACACACATCGCTACAAGAGGGGATTTTTCCTCCACTCCAGGAAAATGACAAGGAACCTGAAGGGACTGGATCCAAGGCTCAGGAAGCTGAAGCTCCTGATGAGAAGTGTCACCTGGAGACTGGAGACCAAGAGTATGGGACACAGCGGCAGGACAGAGCAGAGGCCGTTCCTTAGTGGAGTGTGTCATCCAGGAAGTGCCTTGAGACTGGTTCCAGCCTGTGATGGACAGTAGTGGCTGGAGTACCCCTGGGGATCTCTGTTCCTGGGCCATTGGTTACCATGGCAACAGCACCACAGAGAGCAGATCAGATCCCACTCTCAGGATTTATTCTCAAACCTCCAGGGTTGCAAGCAATAATGTGAGTAATTTTGGATACTTTCTCAATGTAAATTTTTATTAGTAAGTCTCTACGCCCTGACTCTATCTCAGTTATTCAAGTTCTGTTAGTATTGACATCTTTACCGTAGTATAACCTGGAGGTTTGGGCTGAAATTCTTTATCATGGAGTTAAGATGCAGTAAAGAAGCTCTGTTCCTCAGAAGAAAATTGAGACCCCACAAAATCTGATCATCCCTTTTCAAGATTTGAAATAAGGTACGAATTTCCAAAGCAGCCATTTTGGCTTACTTAGTTGGTACTGGTTTTAGAATAAGCAAATATTGCTAACAGCTCTGTTAACAAAATTTCTATCAAAATATTTGAGAATTAGGTATATTTTTCACACTCAAAAATAATGTAATCTCTAAAAACATGTTTTTTAAAAAATTGATGATTTTTCTTTATTTTCCCAACAAATTTTCAAAACCTAGAAAGATTAAACACAGAAATCAGTCAGCTAGCACATATGGTGGTGGGCCAGTGGTGAGCGGGATGCAATAGAATCACAGGGCTTGTGTCTGGAATTCAAGTTTCAGTTCTGCCATTTACTAATTGTGAGATTTTAGGCATCCAGATGTCTGAGCTGCAGTCTCCCTCTTTGTAAAATATGGGTGGCATTTATTTTGTTCCTTAAGGGTTGTTTTTCAGCAAAATGAGATAATAAATGTGAAAACACTTTTAACACTGAAAATGTTTGTTGCTACTATGTAAATAGTAAGCTGTCATTTTGGTGTTCCACAGACAACCATGTCTTCTGGAATTCATGCTTTTGTATAGCCCTACCTGCATGAACTCTGGGATTGGCCATGTGACTTGCTTTGGCCAATGAGATGGCAGCAAATGTGATGTAGGCAGAGGCTCCAGAAGCACTTGCACACTGGGGCTCGTCTGCTTGGCAAACTTCCTGTCCTAAAGAAACGTGGGCTGCGTTTCTGAATGATGAGCGGCAACAAGGGGAAAGGCCCCCAAGGAAGAAAGACCATTTTACATACCCCAGCCCACCCTAGCTGCCAGCCAAATGCAGCCACATGAATGACCTTCTGCTAGCCTGCAAGAAACTGGTGAACCAGCTTAGCACAGTCAACCCTCAGAACCATGAGAAATAATAACTCACGTTTTATATTCTGGACTGGTTATGCAACCATGTGTAATTACAACCATAGTTCTCAGAGAAGGGGAAGTTGGAATTAACTTGATATGAAATCAAAGACTAGGTAGGCCTGGAGAATAAGATGTGATTAGTTGGATATTCTAGGATAAGATAGATTGTGTTGTACAAACAGAATAATTGCAAGACCTCTGGGTTAAAACAGCAAAACTTTCTCTATTTCTCATGAGGAATTCACTGTCAGTTGAAGGACTTCCCAGAGATGGTTTCTCCAGCTGTTGTTGGCTTGGTGTTACATGTTTATTTGGTCTTTTCCCCCAAGATTTGTTTACTTATTTATTCATTTATTTGAACAACAGAGTAACAGAGAGAGAGGAAGAGCAAGAGAGAACCTTCCATCTGCTGGTTCATTCCCCACATGGCTGCCACAGCCAGGTCCGGGCCAGGTCAAAGCCAGAAGCCAAGAATTCCATCCTGGTCTCCCACATAGGTGGCAGGGGCCCAAGTTCTTGAGTCCTCATCTGCTGCTTTCTGGCATAGCAGAAAGATCAGGAGTGGAGTAGCCAAGACTCACACTGGCACTCTGGTACAGCATGCTAGTGTGGCGAGCCGCAGCTTGACCCACTGCACCACACGCTTACCCCTGCTTCTTTGGTCTTACGGTTCTTCCATACTGTGATGCTCTCTGGGCTTCTGAAGGGGAAGTGAAATGAGGAGTTAAGCACTGGCAATCAATGTCTCTACTGTGAATGACCCACGGCACCTCTGCTTATGTTTCTTCCAGCACAGCAAGTCTCACGGCCACGATCAAGTTTATAGGGATATAAGCCTCCTAAGACAGCTCAGAAAAGAGAGCACTTCTTTCTAGTGGCAGAGAAGATAGATGACGGGCTGGAGAGTCAATATGATCTTTGGTTTAATCTCAGCTCTGCTACCTCTTTATGATCTGGTAGCTGCATGCAAGTTCCTTAGTGTTCTCATCTACAAACAAGTTTTATACAAGAAGAAAATCCAATTTAACTTATGGAACAAAAATAGATTTGGGGGGAAGGACATTGAGGTATCTTTTGAACATCAAGGGCAGATAGGTATCAGTAGCTTCTAGAACAGTCTGGCAAGCAAACACCTAAGCAGGCTCTCTACATTTCTCATCCTCTGGATTTACTGCTCTGTAGAGTTCTTTTGTTCAAGGGACTGGAATAGTGACCCTCAGTCCCATTTCTGGACATATAGGGAACAGAATCTGATACGCATTTTCATCAGGTGATCAACTCCTGCTTCAACCAGGTGAGACCCAAAGAGTTCTGTACTAGCAACATGGTTACAGGACCTATTTCTAGCGTGGTTCTCAGGAAAAGGGAATTAAGGTGAGCTAGCAGAGTGGGCATTTGGTGCAGCAGTTAAGAAGCCACTTGGGTCACCCACATCCCATATCAGAGTGCCCAAGTTCAAGTTCCCACACCACTTTCTGAGTCAAGCTTCCTGCTAAGGCATACCCTGGAAAGCAGCAAATGATGGCCCATGTAGTCCAGTCCATGCCACCCATGTAAAAGACTCAGATTGAGTTCTGGGCTTTTGGATGTGGCCTGGCCCAGTCCTTGCTATTATGAACACTGGGGGAGTAGACCAGTGGGTGAAAGACCTCCTTTTCTTTGTTTCTCTCTCTCTCTTTTTCTCTGTATCAGTCTCTTAAATAAGTAATTAAACTCTTTTGTTAAAAGAGTTTGCTGAGGCTGGCACTGTGGCTCACTTGGCTAATCCTCCACCTGTGGCACCGGCACCCCGGGTTCTAGTCCAGGTTGGGGCACCGGATTCTGTCCCGGTTGCTCCTCTTCCAGGCCAGCTCTCTGCTGTGGCCCAAGAAGGCAGTGGAGGATGGCCCAAGTGCTTGGGCACTGCACCCGCATGGGAGACCAAGAGGAAGCGCCTGGCTCCTGGCTTTGGATCAGCGCAGCACGCGGGCCATAGCGGCCATTTGGGGGGTGAACCAACAGAAAGAAGACCTTTCTCTCTGTCTCTCTCTCTCACTGTCTAACTGCCTGTCCAAAAAAAAAAAAAAAAAAAAAAAAAAAAAAAAAAAAAAAAAGAGTTTGCTGAAAATTGAATTAAAATATTTATTTTTTTCTATTTTTTATTTTTTTAATTTTTATTTAATAAATATAAATTTCCAAAGCACAGCTTTTGGATTATAGTGGCTTCCCCCCCATAACTTTTCTCCCACCCACAACCCTCCCATCTCCTGCTCCCTCTCCCATCCCATTCACATCAAGATTCATTTTCAATTCTCTTTATATACAGAAGATCAATTTAGTATATATTAAGTAAAGATTTCAACAGTTTTCACCCACACAGAAACACAAAGTGTAAAGTACTGTTTGAGTACTAGTTATAGCTTTAATTCACATTGTATAACACATTAAGGACAGAAATCCTACATGGGGAGTAAGTGCACAGTGACTCCTGTTGTTGATTTAACAATTGACACTCTTGTTTATGGCGTCAGTAATCACCCTAGGCTCTTGTCATGAGTTGCCAAGGCTATTGAAGCCTTTTGAGTTCACCAACTCCCATCTTATTTAGACAAGGTCATAGTCAAAGTGGAAGTTCTCTCCTCCCTTCAGAGAAAGGTACCTCCTTCTTTGATGACCCATTCTTTCCACTGGGATCTCACTCACAGAGATCTTTCATTTAGTTGTTTGTTTGTTTGGTTTTTTGCCACAGTGTCTTGGCTTTCTATGCCTGAAATACTCTCATGTGCTCTTCAGCCAGATCCAAATGCCTTAAGGGCTGATTCTGAGGCCAGAGTGCTATTTAGGACATCTGCCATTTTATGAGTCTGCTGTGTATCCTGCTTCCCATGTTGGATCGTTCAGACACTAGTCTTATTTATGTGATCCCTTTGATTCTTAATCCTATCATTATGACCAATTATGAACTGAAACTGATCACTTTGACTAGTGAGATGGCATTGGTACATGCCACCTTGATGGGATTGAATTGGAATCCCCTGGCACATTTCTAACTCTATCATTTGGGGCAAGTCCAATTAAACATGTGCCAAACTGTACATCTCCTCCCTCTCTTATTCTCACTCTTATATGAATTGAATTAAAATGTTTATTTCTAAAAAACTCTGTTTCTACTGCTCTGTCTGTCCTATTGATTCCACTTCACTGGGGAACCTGACTAGTAAAACAGCAAATGAGAATCCTTCTTCTGAGAGGACTCTGAGGGAAGCTGGCTGCTAGGTGGTGAGGATACTCAGTGCAGTGGACTGAATGTGTGTTCCCAAAATTCCTGTGTTGCAACCCCGATCCCAATGTGGTGGTTTGGGAGGTGGGGCCCTTGGGAGGTAATTGAGTCATGAGGATGGAGCCCTTATGAATGAAATAAGTGCAGGAAGTAGGCTAGCTGTCCTTGCACCATGGGAGGATACAATGAGGAGCCAGCAGCCTGTAGCTCAGAAGAGAGCCTCGCCAGAGCCGACAGTACGTCAGACCTCCAGAACTGCCATCAACACATTGCTGTTGTTTACAAATCACCTACTCTCTAGTGTTCTGTTGTAACCCACTGAACTAAGACCTCTCCAAGGGGCACGTGGTAAGGAACTATAGTCTCCAGTAACCAGCAAGAAACTGCCAAAAATGGTATGTGTATGCTTGGAAGATGCCCTTCCTCCAACTTGCAGATGATTGCAGCTCCAGCCAACAGCTTCCCGGCAACCTCATGAGAAACCCTGAGCCAGGACATCCCAGCAAATCCACTGTTGGATTCCTGCCTTAGAAAACATAAAAGGGGGCTGGCGCTGTGGCGTAGTGGGTACGGCCACTGCCTGCAGTGCCAGCATCCCATATGGGTGCCGGTTCAAGTCCCGGCTGCTCCACTTCCGATCCAGCTCTCTGCTATGGCCTGGAAAAGCAGTAGAAAATGGCCCAAATTCTTGGGCCCCTGCACCCACGTGGGAGACCAGAAGAAGCTCCTGGCTCCTGGCTTCAGATCAGCTTAGCTCAGTCCATTGCAGCAAACTGGAGCATGAACCAATGGATGGAAGACCTCGCCTTCTCTCTCTGCCTCTCCTTCTCTCTGCGTGTAACTCTGACTTTCAAATAAATAAATTAAAAAAAAAAAAAGAAAATGTAAGATAATAAACATGCTGTTAAGCTACTAAATTTTGGGATCCTTTCTTACACAGCAATGAGCAACTAAAACAGTTTCTGTTCATAGATAATCTTAAGGACTCCTAAGGATACTTGAACTCATCTAAGAACCATAATGCTCAGGGCCGGTGCTGTGGCATAGTGGGTAGAACCACCACCTGCAGTGCCAGCATCCCATATGGGCGCTGGTTCGAGTTCCAGCTGTTCCACTTCCAATCCAGCTCTCTGCTATGGCTTGGGAAAGCAGTGGAAGATGGCCCAAGCCCTTGGGCCCCTGCACCTGCATGGGAGACTCAGAAGAAGCTCCTGGCTCCTGGCTTCAGATCGGCACAGCTCCAGCTGTTGCAGCCAATTGGCGAGTGAACCAGCGGATGGAAGATCTCTCTCTCTGCCTCTCCTTCTCTCTCTCTGTATCTCTGACTTTCAAGTAAAATAAATAAATGTTTAAAAAAAAAGCACCATAATGCTCTTGGAAAAAGGAATTTAGCTTATCCTCTCAAGGCTAGACTGAAATCACAGAGCTGTAGTAGATATGCCTTCTACTTTATGGTGCTATGTCGGGGCCTAACCAGTCAACCATCTCCTTCCAATTTAATCTGTATATTCCTTCCTTCCTTCCTTCCTTCCTTCCTTCCTTCTTCCTTCCTTCTTCCTTCTTCCTTCTTCCTTCTTCCTTCCTTCCTTCCTTTCTTTTAGAAAACTTTTATTTACTAAGTATTAATTTCGAAAGTACAACTTTTGGATTATAGTGGTTTCCCCCCATAACCACCTTCCCACCTGCAAACCATCCCAACTCCTACTCCCTCTCCCGTCCTATTCATCATTAAGATTCATTTTTAATTATCTTTATATACAGAAGATCAACTTAGTATATACTAAGTAAAGATTTCAATAGTTTGCACCTACACAGCCACACAAAGTATAAAGTACTGATTGAAGACTATTTTTTACCGTTTAATCTGGCTATGTCATTTGCCACCACTGTCAGTTCTCATATCTGCTACATGCTGATTCACTCACAGAACCACGGGAAATATTTTTCTATAATATTAGTCATG